TAAATTGTGACACTTGCCACAACTTGTGATAAGAACTTGTGACTTGTTGTCTCGTTTATTAGAAGGGGAAAGAAAAATTACCCTCGAAGTAAAACCATTGAGTTTAGTCCAAAACTAGGGTTATCCTCAAAATATTGTATCATGTACAAAGCCCCTAACAGCAACGAGCAGGTAGCAAAACTTCCGAAACTTTCCAGGTACATCGGCCAATCTAAATTGACAACTTTTTTTTCTACAAATCCAAGGGTTTCAGAGCGTTTACAAGTGCTCGTAAATTCTTTCTAATCCCCCGAGTTTGGGTGAGTGACCATTGTTTTCAAACCATCACCGGAAAAAGCATTGACGCACTATTTCAGTTGAATTTTTCAAACGCCGTGGGGGAATAAGAAGAATTGTACTTTCTGAACCGCACAGAATGTCAGGATAATGCTTTTCTACCTTTTACCACCGAGGCAGAGACCATGAACCGTAAAAGAAATACTTTTTTTTACTATGTACAAGTAGAATAAACTTGGCGAAATGTGCTCATTCTGGCTTTTTACAGAGAGTGCTTTATCTGCTCTCCTTTGCCCCAGCACATGCGTTTTGAATTTACATATTGACGACCATATATGTATACTGCAAAAGGTTGAAAAAGTATTAAGTAATGACAATGGAACTGAGTTTTTGTGTGAATTCTGTTGATTTTTTTTCACTAAGTAAGGTAAACGACCCTACGCTCGTCCAGCTGAGGTGAACACATCATTTGTGGGCGTCCACATGAAAAGGGCCCACTTTGACGGTATTGGAGTTATGTATGTTCCGATAATCTTGATCAGATTTCTCACATTTTGAGCCAAAAATCAACCGAATAGAATGAAAACTGACGTCAGTGTAGACGATCAAAAAAACAATTTAACATTGGTTTAAATGGGAGATGTGGAGAGAAAAACGTGAATACCTTGAAAACTAGATGCGACAAAGTAGGCCCTTTTCACGTGGACGTACACATTTGTCCAATATTTCTATCGAAATGAGCGTCAAGATGCGATAGTTTAAATTAGATATCAGGGGAAAACCTTCAGAATTGGAATTCACTTATACTAATCACGATAATTACTACTTCAACTTTAACATCTAACGTTATTTATTGCAAGAAACATACATTCTTACGAATGGCCCTTCCCCGAGGGCCGTCAGCCTAGAATACACTTCTTTTGTGCAGTATCAGATTATCTCTATCAGGAGTTGGGAACATGTGGTTTAATGTTGATGATAGACGGGAGAAAAAGAAAGAAAGAAAAAAAAAGAGAAATGGAAATGGTGATGAGACTCAACTTTCGAAAATACGCCGTAACGATAATTACTATTTTTTAATAAATAATCGTTCGTAAATGTGCAAAGTCTCATGTCCCAATGCTCGTCTCGTGACTTCAGTTATACGGACTGGTTATATCCGAATTAATTATACCGTGAGTATCCTATTTTGTGATAAAACAACATTAGAAAATATCTCGAAGCACAAAATTATATTCCAATTAGAGAGTCCAACCTTTACAATGATTTTTTCATCCTTTTCGTTCGTTACAAGTTGACAGTTGGTTGTAAAACCAGCAGAGGATCATGCCATTTCCATTGCACTATTCTTCTAATTGTATTGAATTTTTAAGTATCCGAAACCTCAGTCAAGGGATTTTTAATCCCATTTTACTATTATAACGGAGATATCAACATTTAAAAATTGTGAGTTTGTTAACTTGCTGCTTAAGAATTCACTCTGTCGTAGCACCAGTTGATGTGAATGGGATTTTTCTCCGTTGTTATTCAATAAATTATTGTTCATTGAGGTCGATAACTTTCCTTATCGACTAAAATAATAACTCCAATCGTATTTCACTTTTAATAGATTCTCGAGACTTTCAAAATGACTAAAATGTCTTAGCTCGGGACATCTGAACGAGCATAGGTACATTATCTTAATGATTCATTTCCTTACACGCACTGGAAGTTTCACACAATTGATTTTAATAGACGTAAATTTTCAAAATTCTCCTTCTTTAGCATCCACGTTTCGCAAATGATACTAAAAAGATAATTGTTAGAATTTTTCACCGTAGAGACGAATGATACTGGTGTTTCGCAAGATATCTAGAAGCCATTTTCCTTTCTTTCTCTCATTGCTCGCTGTAACGTTTCTTTCACCCTGTTAAAGGGATACGCCTCAGTAGAAACCACGAAAGTACAGAGAATGGGCTGATCATGAACGCTCATTATGTTCCTAGAAGGCCATGCCACCGCAGCTTAAAACACCGGTGTTTATTGGCGAGACTTGGCACGAGTCGAATAATTTTTCTTTTTTAGGCTTCTAGAAAATATAACCCCCGTGGTATTAACCCCAGGCATAATTTCCGCTCCGAGGTTCTTGGATTACAGCGACAGTTGTTGGATTAAACGTCCGTGAACGCTCTGAACACTTCATCATACCATTAACGTCAAGCCTACCTTTTTTTCAAGTTTTTTTTTCCAATTTAACTTCTTGATTCCTGACAATGAATATTTTGTGCCTCGCAAACTTTTGAAGCTTCGAAATTTCAAACTTCTTTTCTTCGTCACCACGGAGGGCTTCTGCATCGATATGATTACCTCAAGGATTTCGTGCCGAGCGAACCTAATCCGTATAAAAGATCGTTGTGCGACCAGAGATCGGCACAAATATTATTTTCACCAATATTTGCACCACAAATACGTATTTCTTGCTTAATCAGTAATAACGTGTCAATATTTCTCATTATATTATGAATGGGTTCACTACACGGAGAGAAATATTCAAGAAAAAATACGGAACATTTCCCGTAATCCGCAAGTGAGAATCGTTTTCAGTGAATTTCTGTAGGAATATAAGAGAATAAATCTGAAATGTTCAGTAAATTTTCGGGTCTGTCACCGAAAAAATACGAAAAAGTCACGTAATTTTTCTGGAAGTTGTAAAATCTAACAGAAACTTTAAGACTTATTATGCCTCAGAACATGAAAATTCTTGGATGTTTAAGAATTTTTACGAAAAGCTAAGGAAAAATTACGGAACGTGTTGTTAAAATCTCCCCCTCACGGTGACTCATGGCTAGCCGTGAGGCGTCGGACGGATGGGTAATTTTTACGGAACAGATCGTAGAATTTACGTGACAATTGACACTTTTTATTGAATTTTACTTCGCTCCCAGATTACGTTTCGAAACGCAATTTTTACGTCTTTTTTCTGGTAAGTTTTATTGAATAGTTCTCTCCGTGTATATTGAGAAATTCACATTTTTTAAATACCGTATCAATGAGCAATAATTAACAATAAAAAAGTATTATTTATCTCATCAGGAATTACACTTGAATATTTTAGAGTAGTCATTTAATCAATAATCAATACTAAAATATTTTCAGTATTCTGTTAATGGGTAATGTTGACCGTTAAATTATTCATTACTGTGACAGTGGACAATGATTATGGAAATGTCATTCAAACAAACACGTTGTCAAACAAGTTTTATTTGGGCCAACAAAATCGCTAGTTAAAAATTGCCAAAAAAGAATTTGTTTGGTTCGAATTGGAAAGTCTCAAATATGAATAATTGTTCTGCTTTCGACAGCAACGAAATATTTGGCTCAAGAGGCGGATAATTCACACCAGACGGTGCCTTTTCAGGATGAAAATATCTCATATAGATGAAAATTTATCAACAAGTATTTTATCCCTACGTTACAAGATTGCTATCATATCATTATTATTGTTTCATTTAAGGGTTCATTTCATGTCTGTGATTATCAGACAGCCGAAACGGAAAATTACTATCTCTTCTTGCGTGTACAGAGAATGCAATTTTTTTTCAACTACTAAATCTCTTTTCGCGACAAAAATTTTTCATTCCGGCGCACTCTCTGCATGTTTGGCACAAAAAAATCCTTCTTTGATAATTTTCAAAAAAACATTTGCTTGGCACAAGTAAGACTTGTTTCAGAACTTTGTCGTTTTTCTCTCAGTGTATGATGATAATCAGAAATAAAAACTTTCTATTACTCAATTAATCAGTAATTATAGGTACACATTACTGATTACTCATCTAATTAATTATGAAATCCATCTCATTAATTGAATATTTTTAGGGAAGAGCTAAAATAAGATAGCGAGTTGAAATGGGGAGAAAAAATTATCAGTTAGGTCCGTCATACGTCAATCACATTTCACTGAGAGAGTTTATATAGTGCTTCACATCTTGTGACGTCAAAGGATATTATTGGATACAATTTTTTGAGTAGGTAGGAAAGGAGGCAGGATGGATTTTGATCCATTATTATGATAAATTATTTGTTTTTTTTTTTCATTTTCATTTCTCATTAGTATCGCAATGAAAAATGCATTTGTTATTATTATTGATTACGAAAAAAATAATTCAATTTTCTTCATTAACCATTAATATGGTAATGAAATACTAATAATGAAAATTATTTTCCTGCCGATTTCTGTGTGCGACGCAGAATGCGGCATAAAATGCAGTTGGGGCGACAGATGAGCAGTATCGATGCTAGAAATTTTCGTACCTGTTGCGAGTACCGCAAATCCCTTTGTCCATTTTCCCACCCCCTTACCGGGTCTCTAGGTAGTAAATATCGGTCACCACGGTCCGCCGAGGGTTGACTGAGCCCCATTGGTCATTCACCTCGAACTGCAGCCCATTCAGGGATCCATAAATTGACTGGGCTACATGAAATGCCCGCAGTTCGGCCCCAAGCTCGCAAGTGACAACATAGCGAGCGCCTCTTCAAAATTAACTAAAATAATTCATACTTTGGACTATTCCCTTTGGATTATATCAATGGTTAGTGGTTAACACTCAAACTTCTTTTTGATTGTTACGCAATTGAAAGGTGAAATTTCTCAGAAGAGCAGTAGTTATTAAGATGCCTGTGATTGAGCGACATTTAATATTTTAAACTAAAGTGAGGTGATAATCATTATTAAATATATTTCGCAGAGTGTGGTATCATGTCGTTGCAGCAGCGACAGTGATGAGGAACCGGTGACCAAGCAACCGAGATTGAGCCGCAGGCATTGCCGTGAAGCCGGAAGAGAAAATACTGGACGATCCGGGCGTATGGGCCCACCAAGGCGATTCACCTCGTCCAAACCTCGTAACCGTGAACCTGGAGTTTCATCTAGCTGTGCATCTGACAGCGATATGTCTTCTGGGTATCATCATAACGAAGACGAATCATATTTCGAGGTAAATTTTTTCATTCATGCCGAACTTTCACTAGATGAATCAGAAGATAGTGGGAGGGTAAATGAAAGAGGGAAAATAGATATTCTGTGCATCCTTTTGCATTTCTTAACTTCATAATAAAGAAACATCTTCTCTCAATTTATTGATAATTGAATAAAGAATTCAATGGAGATTATATCGTTCATTTTGTTTATTTTTGCTTCCGAATGGAAGCATTACAATCCTTCGATTTCCACATTCTCTAATTTTGATTGGACATTATGTAGAATGGTCTAAAACGTAAAAATACGAAGTTTGGCGACCACGTCTGTATGTGACACGTCCACCGCCACCTTCCCGGTGGTCAATTTTTAGAAAATTGAGTAATTAAGTGGCTAAAGTAATTCCAGAAAATCCGAAATTATGTCAGATTATAGGTCTTAATGAGAACTAACTCTGTGCAAAATTTCAGCCCAATCGAGCTAATAGTTGTGGAGAAAAAACGATTTGTTTTAAAATATCTTGAAAACGAGTGGACCGATTGCGTTTTTTTTTTGTGTTTAAAATATTCGTTTCGATGTCTTCTATCTAAATCAATCAAAACATATATACCCGTTCATACAAGGTTTTCGAGATATTCCCGTTTTTCCGTTTATTCATAAAAAACTTTGTAAACACTCTAGCTTGCGCAAAAATCGAGATATCAACTTGAAATTCAGACAGAATCTTCCTCTCGTGACAACAATGTTCCGTATTGAAGATGGGTTCGATCGCTTCAGTAGTTTCGGAGATATTTGACTTTTTCTGAAAATCTTTTACATGGAATATCTTCAAAACTACTCAACCGATTTCACTTTTTTTTTTCAAAACATTCGTTTCGGTGCCTTTTACCTAAATCAATTAATATACCAGTTCATACAACGTTTTCGAGATATTCCCGTTTTTCCGTTTTTTCATAAACAAAAATTTGTAAACATTAGCTCGCGCAAAATCGAGATATTAGCTTGAAATTTGGACAGAAAATATGTGTACCCGCTCATGCGAAGTATTCGAAACATTTAACTTTTGATAACAACCATAGAGGGGGCAGGAACCATCTGAAATTTTTGCTGCTAGTCAGTGTTGTGAAGCTATAAACTTTTGTAATAGTTCAGACCATTCGGAACCCGCCATTAATGTATTGATCCTATTCTAAAAAGAACATACACTTGACCCTAGTTTGGTCACCATATGAGAACTTGCGATTGGTCACATCCGCAGGGAATCGCCGCCGTGTTATTTAGGCTCGAGCGTTGCCGAATTCACTCTGTACTGCCCGGGCTCGTTTAGCGAGACTTCGGCAACGTCGCACAACGGGCAATTTCATTTAACATGGGAAAAAATTGCCCGTCTGTTAGAAATAATTTTTTTTCTTCAGGAATTGTGGATATAAATTTTTTAAAAAAATATTATAATTTTCTAGACACTTGAATGGACGCATTCCAATTTTTTAGGATTTTTCCGCTCAGCCAGTCAATGGTAAGAAAACAAAATCGACCTTCTGCGGCGTTTCCCTCCTATGGTGACCAATTGTCACGCTTATTCCTCATTGGTTCCAGTCGTCTGAGTCGGCAAATTTAATTCATGATTAATTTTGAGATTTTCAATTATGATCGTTACAATTACAGCGCGCTGTAGCGCGCGTTCGGTCTCGTGACGAAAAAAATGAGACATCACTCAATGACATGCTCACTGTCACATAGCGCGGTCATATGCTCGCTGTCCCCTGCTTGTTTTGATTGTACAACGATACTCTTTGAAGACCCCACGGCTATGCAAAACTGAATGGCAATTGAAGAACATTTCAGATTATCAAAATAAAAAAAAACAACCAAGGTCATGTTCGAAAGATAATACACACGGGCCGTAATAATTATTTTTCAGAATGAATTTCAAATCTTAGAATATGAAATTACCTCTAACCATTCACTTTTTTGCTGAAGTACCCCAGTTAACTCTGAAAATTGTTCTAACACTGAGTCATTTGGAATTCACATGAAAAGTTAACAATAGAAACTTGCTTCTTTGAGAAACTCGTTCACGTTTTCTCCATTTTCATCCACTTTTATTTATTTGAAATTCCTCCACGAAACTCAAGCAAGAAGAGTTAATCACCCAGCAATGTTCTGTTTTTCCTGCTCATAACAGGACGATCTGGAGCAGCTTTGCGTGACTGAAACGAAGAGCAAGGTCTCCCGAGGGGCAGAAAAACGGGATACCGCCGTACAGGGTGATCAAGGTGAGGAAGGTGATATAGAAGAAGGTGAAGCTAGTGACGACGAGATGCCACCGACACTCGATCCAGCGATGGCATCAGTATCGGGCGATGAGGTAGACGGCACACCTTCGAGGCACAATGCAAGTTCACCCAGTCTCAAGGACACACCGAAACGCCGCAGAACCTTTGATGAGAGTTCTATTTTCAATACATCAGACAGGAAGTCGAAAAATTGTGCCACCTTTTACTTTAAACATCGCGATACCGACTCTGAGGCCGATTGTGGAACGCAAGATAGTGAAATGCAGAATGGAATTGAGGATTCTTCGGAGGAAGAGTGGACTTACACTGCCTCTCCAACGGATGATTGCGAGATTCGTTGTGAACACATTAAAACTAATGTTGTTGTGCGTTTGGATTTCGGGGAGCCTGCTAAAGTCGAAAAAGTTGATCACGTTGAATTCAAACGGGAAAATATCAGAAAGACGACGATCGAGGAGATGAGGATTCTCGAAGAGGAGGAAGAGGCGGTCCGAATTAAAGAGGATAATGGCGAAAGTGAAGACGAAACCAAGAACGATATTCAGAAGCTAATTTTGGAAGTTGAGAAGCTTGTCAGCGAGGAGGGAAGGAAGGGGATTTCAACGAACCTCACGCCACTTATTTTGAATGACCAGGGACAAACCAACTACAGGGCTAAGTATGCGAGGATTAAGGAATGGCTAAAACTTAATTCGACTCACAATCTTGAAGAGAGATCCAACTCGCAGGTAAATTTTCTCATCCAAATTGAACCGTATTGTTAAACGTAAGCTTGAGTACAAAAAATTGTTCATCTTTTCAATAGGAGGAGGTGGATTCATGAGGATTATTACAATAATCGTTCTTGTTCTAATAACTTCCAAGAAAAAAAAATTATCTCCGGGGCATTCCACGCTATTTCAACGAGGGCAAATTTTTTTTTTTTGAAAATTGCATGTATCAAAGAAGGAGAACCAGAGATACTATTAACAGGCCAATTTTTTTAAGTCAAAGTTATAACAATTGTAAAATTTCGGTGGATAACGAACAGACATGCTCAAAAGTTATGCATGTAATCCAAAAATTTCAGAAGGGTTTTTTTGTCGAGAAAGGATGCTCAGTTGTGTAAAAAAAAACTGATCGAAAAAAGTAAATATTATTGGTATTTTTTAAATAAACAATTAGAAAAATGGTTTTAGTTTCGGGAGTTACACTCTGAAAAATACGAAAAAAATATATCTTGTGGGAAATATTATTAAGATCGCTGTGTCAAATTTTTGTTTAATTACATTAACTGGCTCGTAAAATATTAATGTTTTAATGATGTCATGTGACGTCTCAGCCGCTCAGCGCGGCGCCCAAATTGAGCGCTCCATTCTCTCCAAAAATCCATTTCCTTAAGAAAAAACAAGAGTTTTCATGATTATTCATTTTTTTTATAACGACAAAAAACACTTTCCCATGAAATAAGTATTGAGTGAGCTACGGTTGTTCAAAGTTTCAGCGGATTGAGAGCGCTTAAATTGAGTAGTGTACTGAACGGCGGGACAGCGCGCGACTTCATAAAAAAATTAATATCTCGACCATCAGTGAATGTCATTAAACAAAATTTTGACAACATACCATTTTTTTCAAAATTATTCAGGGTGGAACTCGCGTAACTACAACGGTTTTTCGAATTCTTCATTGAAAAAGTTGCAATAATATTTACTTATTTGAGTTGATTATTTGAGTTTCCCACATAAAATGCGTAGTTATTGAGATATAAATGTTCAAATGTTTGCAGATTCCTCACTCCACTAAATTCGCCGTTGAAATAGGCATTTACGCATAATTCCTAAGGACCGAAGACTGTCTTTTTCCATTCCTCAGGATTTTTTCACAGAAATAATGCCAGGAATGATAGATTTAAATTTGAAAATAACCAGTTATCTGTCATCCCAAGACGACTCCATTCTCCCCCCGATGAAAAATGAAGAATGACCAATGTTTTTTTTCATCTGTAATAGAGCTGGCAACCACTGGACAGCTGTGACGCGAGCGGTGAGTACACGACTGGCGAGTCTGACGTTGAAAAACAGTCAGTGTCCTCTGAGGATCTTCACAGCAGTGTTGCAACGTATCGTCGTTGCGAAGGTGGACTTGGCTGTGTGTCCCAGTCAGTTTCGCAGGAAATATACAACGATAATGAAAAAACTCTTGTAAATGAGGGTAACAATCATGCTGATGGCACACCAAAAGTTGTTATGAGGACAAAGAGGAAGTCAGATGGCAAACGACCATGGAGCGTTTCCTGTGTATTTGGACAATTGAATACTAACAATGACACTGCGATTTCACAATTTTCAATTTCGGAAACGGCACTTCATCAATTAGTTTCATCGACACCGACGAAAGCAGTGTCCTTGGATGCAACGTAAGTATAATACTGGCGTGTCAGTCTTGAGTTTGTCTTATCATTGATTTATTCAAGATTTCGAGGAATAATTATTCTCTTTGTATATTTTGCGGATGTTGAAAAAAACAATGATGTCACTTCTACTCCGGTATAATTTCTCAAACATTAACGTAGATAATCATATTCAGATCAACCGTTTCAAACATCAGATCTTGTAATGAACGAGGAACAAAAAAAATCCTATTAAAATTCTCATTATGTCTATGTTTTTTTCCAAAAAATCCATCAACTTCTTATTAACATTTTTTAAAACTATTTTCTTTAGCGGCTCACGTGCGCCTTTCAACAACTCCACATCGACCTTGCTAGAGGAGAATGGACGAGTGGTCCGAAACAGTTCAATGAGAAAAAAGAAGAGTCGTCTACGCAAAAAGACCTTGGTGAGTGAACACTCGAACAAAAAATTAAAAATTGAAATCAATGAGGTGATTTCTAACATCATTTTCATTTCTGTAAACAGAGTCGCAAGAGTGAATCGGGTTCTGACTGTATGAACGCTAATCACTCGGGTGGAAGTGACGCCAGTTCCACTCACCAGCGTTCAAACGCGAGAAAATCACTCGATGGTCGTACGAGATGTGTGCCTAAAGATTGTCACAAGTGCATTGTGTCGTATGTAACCTACGGTTCGACAATTTCGTGTCGTTTGCACCATGAAGCAACAGCGGAAAAAGTCATTGTGACTGATCCGCCGCCATCCATCAAACTCACCTGTTGCACACCAGAGCCGCCCTCACCAGTTGACACAGAGGAGAACAATCGTGGACGTGGAAATTACGAGGACAATCTATTTGACACTGTTTTCAAGAGAAACGAGCTCATCAGTCCCATCAATGGGGACAGTGATATCGAAAAGAACAGCCTTGAGAATAACTCATTCTCAGAGCAGGCGTGGGATAGTTATCAGGAGAAGTATATGAGTGAGCCTTACAGTGAGGCTGCTGATGTCGAGACAGCGAGGAAACTTCTCGAATTTGGTGATGATTATCGCAATTTTTTGGATAGCCAGTCGGACTGTGCGTCCAGTCTGGGTGCTGTGAGGAGTTGCTCGTCACCTATTGCTGGCAGTCGACTCCCTTCTGTAAGATTAACTTCTTGTTTTTTTTCCCTTTTTTATTAAGGTAAATGTACCTATGCTTGTCCCTGTCCCTATGCTCGTTCAGATGTCCCGAGCTACATTTTAATCATTTTGAAGGTCTCAAGAATTTATTATGAGTGAAATACGATTGGAGTTATTATTTCAGTTGATAAGGAAAGTTATCGACACCAATGAACAATAATTCATTGAATAATAACGGAGAAATATTCCATTCACATCAACTAGTGGTATGACAGTGAATTCTTAAGCCGCAAGTTAAGACACTCACAATTTTAAAATGTTAATATCTCCGTTATAATAGTAAAATGGGATTAAAAATCCCTTGACTGAGGTTTCGGATGCTTAAAAATTCAGTAAAAATGCATAAATTATAGTAATATCTGAATATTTCACTGAAATATCGACAATTAGAAGAATAGGTAATCTCTTCCCTTCTGTAAGATTAGTTTCTTATTCTTCTTTTCTTTTTTATTTATAAGGTAAATGTACCTATGCTCGTCCCTGTCCCTATGCTCGTTCAGATGTCCCGAGCTACGACATTTTAATCATTTTGAAGGTCTCAAGAATCTATCAAGAGTGAAATACGATTGGGGTCATTATTTTAGTCGATAAGAAAAGTTATCGACACCAATGAACAATAGTTTCTTGAATAATAACGGAGAAAAATCCCATTCACATCAACTGGTGGTACAACAGTGAAGTCTTAAGCCGCAAGTTCAGAAGCTCACAATTTTAAAATTTTGATGTCTCCGTTATAATAGTAAAATAGGATTGAAAATTCCTTGACTGAGGTTTCGGATACTTGAAAATTCAATAAAAATGGATAAATGATAGTAATATCTGAATATTTCACTGAAATCGGCAATTAGAAGAATAGGTTAATGACAATGCAACTGAATTTGCAACCTTCAACTGCTAAGGGACTAAACAGATGAAAAAATCATTTTAAAGGTTGAATTCTCTAATTGAAATATAATTTTGTGCTTCGCGATATTTTTTAATGTTGTTTTATCACCAAATAGGATACTCACGATATAGTTAGTTCAGATACAACCCTCCCGTATAACTGAAATCACGAGACGAGGATAGGGACACGTGTCAAACATTCATGAGGACAAGTGAGCAAGCGTAGGGACATGGGACTTTCCACATTTACGAACGATTATTTATCAAAAAATAGTAATTAGCGTGATTAGTATAAGTGAATTTCAATTCTGAAGGTTTTCCCCTTTGATATATAATTTAAACCATCGCATCTTCACGCTCATCTCGATAGAAATATTGGACTAATGATGTGTTCACCTTAGCTAGACGAGCGTAGGGGCATTTACCTTACTTTTATAGTAGAGAAGAGACAATTGTCGGAGCCATCGAATCGAAATCACTGTCGATGGAATATTCATTCTTCATTTATCAATACCATTTTGCCTGTTCACTGCTCAAATATTTCTATCCCATTCCTATTTACTGAAGATGAAAGAAACTTAAAGTTGTTTTATATCGAAATATCTCGAAATTGCCTGACCGCTAATTCTCAATTCTGATTGGTCAATGAGTCACGTGAAGTAGTCGCTGAAAAAATCTCCGGTATTTTCAAATTCTTCAAATGCCAAAATTTTTTTCTGCGTCATATTTTTCATTTTTTCATGTGCGAAGTTGATCTTTATATCAAAACATATCTAAATTGCCTAATTGTTGATCATGAGAAAAAAAACATAGTATTTCTAAATTTTTTCAACTCACAAATTATTCTTCACTTCCCAAATTTTAATTTTTTCATATTTATCACACGCCAAAATGATCAATTCTTGCTTCTCAGATTTTCATACATAAATTCTAAACTCTACAAAATTCACGAAAATTCTTCGGTTTCCCAAATAATTCGAGAAAAATCTGTGATCTACGTTTATCTGGAAAACTGAAATTTTCCGAAGAATTCAAGAACTTTTTTCAGTTTTCTGGTAAATCAATTCATAACCCTCCCCTCATTTTTCAACCATTACAAATTTTAATCAGATTATTTTAAAACGTAAAAAAAGGAATTAATCGAAGATTAAAAATTATTCATTGATGTTTCGCTCTTCCTTCTCTTAATTCTCTTTAAGTTATTATCAATATTTATAAAACATTTATGAGTATATAAAGTTTAATAAATTCGATTTCTTCATTTTCACAACAAATAGATAAGCGCGCGCAAATGTCTAGTATTGAAGATAGCAGAAACTTGAGCAAAGTGTTGACTCATGAATTAATGTGACATATTTTCTATTTTAGCAGGATTTGAGAGATTCATCGGAGGACAGCGACAGCGATGCAGAGGAACTGCGTAGAGTCGTTGATAAGTCCTACAAAAAGTTACTAGTCATGGAGAGCCACTTTGCTCGTGCCAATGGCCTTAGGGCAACTAAAGACAATGTACGTATGGATGTAAACCTCGTCGTATCACCTCCAACTCCCTTTGGGCTCATTGTCATTAATCAGACGGAAAAAACTAAAAATAGATATAGATCGTTTTTGGAATTTCTCTTCCATTACATAAAAAGAACGGTTGTGATTGTGACGAGACGAGCCAGTGCTTTACTGCTTTGGTTATATGACAGAGTTAAAAGCATTAAATTCTCAAGCTTTTTTAATTATTAGTAAATAACAAAATGTACATAACGAAGTTATTACGACATCTTCTTTCTTAGAATAAAGTGTTCAAGTGGCTGAATGTAAATTTATTATATAGTTGAGTAAATATTATAGGAATTGACATCTAAAACGTTATATATAACAGATAAACAGATTTTTTACAGACGTGACGGTACACATAATCCCATACACGGTTGAAAAATAGCGAATCGACATCAATCTGATGATCTTGTAATTGTTTTCCAGTAAAGTTTATCCCCGTAGTCACAATTCTGAAGGGATTGAATTATTACGAATAAAGAGATCTGGTTGGGCACTTTATAGCATTTGTTATTTGTTAAGAACCGTTCGTAAATATTGAATAACAAACAATATTGAACTTATGGTCAAATATTAAAACGTCTTCAAGTGTAATAGTTAATAGTTATTAGTTGATTGTTCCCAATAAATTATGATTTTGTAGGCTAAGCATTAATTAATTAACAACGAGTGAGTGATTGTTTGTTCGTGTCTAACTTGTAGGTTTATTATTTCCGTAACAATATTTGCATGCTTGTGTTAATTGATTCATTGATATGCTTTTATAGTGTGTAGACAAAAAATGACTTTTTCTGTGTAATTCAGTGAAATGGAGGAAGGAATAATTATGAAAAATACCTGAGCAAACGAAAAAATGTAAATGCTAGATAAGGAACGGGAAAATGGTCGGAAGTTGATGAGTAATTAGGGAGAATGGCAAATTTCCGCTTTCATTAAATGTAATTAATCCTTTTTTTTCGAATTTTCCGCTTGGAAATAATTACAAAACAGCTGTTCATTTGGGAAATAGGATTTTTTACCTTCATTTTACCAAGGCTCTTTAGCTCAGCCGGTTAGAGCGTCGTGCTAATAACGCGAAGGTCGTGGGTTCGATCCCCCCAAGAGCCAATTTTTTTTTCTGGATACATTTTTTAGAATTTTAATTTTAGGATCTCATGCATAATCAAAATTTTTATTTTTCCCCAAATAAAAAAATTAGTTGGAAAACTTTACCAATGCAATAATCACTGTGCACCCTAACCCAATAAATAATTAAAGGAACTATGGAGTAATAATTAATCAACGTGATTATCAAAATTCGTAACACCCGCATCACCCGATTAACCCTTAAGTGATCGCATCGTGAAGGAATTCCCGCTAAACCATAAGCAAACTATAGGGCGCCACTGTACCCAGTGAGATGCTAGAAAAGCGGGACCACTTAAGGGGTAACAGAATGCTGCTAATTTTTCAAATTTTTGAAAAAATTTTCTACCGAAAGTTATCGTTACTTCTACAAATCGAAGCACATTAACCCTAGTTTGGTCACCATAAGAGGGAAACGCCACAGAAGGTCGTTTTTTTTTCTTACCATTGACTGGCTGAGCGGAAAAATCCTAAAAAATTGGAATGCGTCAATTCAAGTGTCTAGAAAATTATAATATTTTTTAAAATTATTTATATCCACAATTCCTGAAGAAAAAAAATTATTTCTAACAGACGGGCAATTTTTTTCCATGTCAAATGAAATTGCCCGTTGTGCGACGTTGCCGAAGTCTCGCTAAACGCGCCCGGGCAGTATAGAGTGAATTCGGCAACGCTGGGCCTAAATAACACGGCGGCGATTCCCTGCGGAGGTGACTAAAGTCCCAAGTTCTCATATGGTGACCAACTAGGGTTAAGGGGAGACTACTATGAGTTTAAAAAGTCGCGGACTATTGGAATGAGATTTCTCATATATTGAAGATCGATTATCTCTCGATATTATAAAAATCCAAATCGACTTCGGATGATAAAAATTTGGTACGAGAAAATAAGACTCCACAATTAATGGTCATAAGGGTTAAAATCAGGGTCACAAGGATTAGCATAAGGGCCACGAGGATCACGAGGATCAAGGTTCACAGGGTCAGAATAAGGGGTACGAGGGTCATCTGGGTGAAAAGAGGGGTATAATGAGGGACACAAGGGTCAGAATAAGGAAGATGGCGTCATATGGGGGTTGGCGAGCGGAGCAAGCAGAGGACGTAGCCTCCTAGTATACGTCTAAAAACGAATAATTAACACGAAAAAATTAATTAACGTTTCAACGAACAATAAATAATTATTTATTGTTCCTGTGCCACGCAGACGATTCAAATGTTGAAAATAGTCCAGGGCCCTCAATTTTTGAGCTACAGAGATTTTTTTTTCAAAATTCTTGAAAACGTGTACAATAATAATTATGATTTTTTTTTTTTAATTTAACTCCTACACAGCTAATTTTGTAATTTTTTTGTGCATGTAAAATCGCCCGAAAAATGTTTCTGAAAGAATTGTGAAGATATTTAAAATATTTTAAGGATAATTTTTCTGCCTATTTTACATGAATACTCAAAATGTTTATATTAAACAAAACGAAATTAGCTGTGGAGGAGTCGAATTTCAAAAAACTAATTCGTAATAAGTAACAAGTTCAGTGTTATTTTTGAAATTAACATTAATCAGTAGATTTTTGCGTGTTGATTTTGATAGTGAAGTTCACTAGAATCGCTACATTTTCAACAAATAAAAAAGAATAATGATGATTTATGATTAATCGAAGAGATATCTTAAATGTCAGAGCAATGCTAGTCTCCAAAATAGCATAGATGTTTCTTAAATTACCTGAAGCTTTTTTTTACCACGTCAATATTCCCAAGAATTCTGGCGACGTTTTTAGAAATTATTTACATACAGTGCGCAATTTTTTATAGCTCATCTTTAATAATGATGATAATAATAATACTAATAATAATAATAAGAAGAAGAAATTTTCATCATTTCTGTGATGAATTTATAATTTGGGGATGAAATAATTATTTCTTCCATATTATTAACTGATTTACAATAAGTAGATTGAATATATTTATTGGAGAGAAGTAAATTATTTTCTACGGCTTAAGTCTCACGATGTTTACGGTTCACGGAACTCGAATAAATTCTCATTTATTACTATCGTTGCGCATTATATCATGAATATGTTACATATCGAAGTATTGGAACTGCATAACAAAAAAATTATAAATACTTGAAGATTGACGATTCTTCTACGCGATTTAAGTGAGTTCATTTGCGATAAAATCATACGTGAGTGCAAGAATATTTTAAAACATGAGACCTATCTCGGGCCTCGTGAGTTGAGATGCCTGGGAGAATTGAACAATTGAAGAAAAATTACTTGTCTCAAGAGAATATTTTTCAGATAGGGGAGAGTGGGGCAAAATGAATCATTGAGACTAAATGAAACAGTCGAACAATGACTATTTGAGGCGATTCAAGCAAAACATTGTTTTTTGTCAAATATTTTTTTTTATCAACTTTTATTATTATTGGGAGTACTGATGAGAATAATAATTTTCTATTCGTCTTCTCATTCACTTGATTATAATTCAATTGATTAGATTAGGCCGATTACACTTACCTTTTTCCATTCGATTCAAATTCTGCATCACATTTTCCTTTTCCCCCCCTCTAAGTCTCATTTTGTTTTCAATTAATTAATTGACAAAATCTTCTTCCGTCAAAACTTCTCAATAATTTTTTGTTCTATTGAATGGAAAATTATTATTTTCATTAATATGCTCAAGAATAAACAAAAGTTGATAGATAAAAGTTTAAAAATTAAACTTTTTAAAAGTTTGAAAAGTTGAAAAATAAAAATTTTAAAATAATAAAAAATTAACAAAAAACATTTTTTGCTTGAATTGCGTCAGTCATTTTTTGACTGTTTCAGTTTACCCACTGTTTCATTTTGCCCCACTCTCTATTAAATTTTTTTTTCTCAGTGCACACACTTTCATGATCAAATAGCATGAATACCTCTCTCTCGAGAACAAGAATGATAATTCTAACGTGGAACATTATAACATGTTATAGATGGAAGTCGAGTACGTGTGCAAGGAGAATATTCGATGCCTGCAGGCATTGGTAGAGCCGGACTGTCAGAGAGGCGAAAAGAGTGTGAAGCAAGTGCGAGGTAAGTACGTCAACCTAGGCATATGTACATCGACATTGACCTCACTATCATGCGCCACTGCTGTATTGGTGACCGCGTTGAGCGGTCTTGTATACCTATCCGCATCTTGATGCGCTGCGAGGATCAAGATGTGAAAAAATGGACTGTAGAGAATGAGAAATATTTACGACACATTCGAAACTAAAAATAATAGAACTTGAATTTTTTAAAAACCACTGCTTTTTATCTTGGGTTACTTCGCACTATTTATTTGTGTAGAATGTTTGGCTAAACTGATTTCAACAATCCACTTCATGCACTAAATCTCATCTTATTCATGGCTCATCCATTCAGTAGTTTTTTATTAGAATCATTTTCACTTATTCTGTAGATAATGTATTAATTAGAACTAATAAACATCACTTTCCAGCAAATATTTTGCTTATTGGTATTCATAAGTTCATACACGCACTCGCGCATTCTTCACCTCTTTATATTGCTTAAACGCGTCACGCATGTCGCTCCCACTGCTTTCATACTTTTTGTTTTATGCATTCCCTTCTAATTTACCCATTCCTTGCAAATATTTTATCTCTCGCATTCAGTATTTCATATCTGTCAATGAACTCATTTATCAAAGTATTTGATTGCAAAATACCGCATGATAATTCTTGACTTGACACATGTAGGTGAAAAAAAGGAGTAACTAATATTCGTAATAATAATAGCGATGCCTCGTCATTCTGTAGCTATGTCGGCGTAACTGATCATAGATTTGGTTTTCGTTCTTCGAGGATATATAAAGATATACATTAGAGGATTTGGGAATAGAAAGATAAAATCACTAAACAAAAAGGTACGAAATTTCACTGACATAGCGAATTCAAGCTTTCAATTTATTTAAACGCTGACTGAATAAATAAATTTTCCCTCGACGCCAGTTTTCAGAACATATCTCGGAATTTAAACGAGATACTGAACTTCATCAGAGAATTCTTCAATAACTCTTCTAATCCTCGGTAACAAGGTTTCGCATAAAAAGAAGGTGAAGCTTGAGCTTCTAACTATTAGACAAGAAAGATAAACTTTCAATAATGTGAGAGATTCCAAATTTCAATTGAGCTAAGGTAAATGATCCTACGTTCGTCTAGCCAAGGTGAACACATCATGAGCGCAATATTTCTATCGAAATAAGCGTGAAGATGCAATGGGTTAAATTAGCTATCAGAGGGGAAAACCTTCAGAATTGGAATTCACTTATACTAACCATGATAATTACTATTTTTTAATAAATAATCGTTCGTAAATGTGGAAAGTCCCATGTCCCTACGCTCGTTCACTTGTCCCCATGCACGTTAGACACATGTCCCTATCTTTGACTCGTGCACTGAGAGAAAAATCTGAAGTTCGATTTACAATAAGAAAATAGTTGAGGCATTTTGGTGAACGATACGATTTTTTTTTTGTATGCGGCACATAACATTATAGTAACTTCACAAGCGTAATTTTTGCAAATCAAAATGCAGTTAAACTAACCAAAGTTCAAAAGTAACCACGACAAATCTATCGTGAGGAGAACTATAAAATAGTTGCAATGACTACATTCCATTGTAGTAATTACTTCTCCGGCCAAAGTTACCGTAATCCATGAAAAATTGTTGAGGACTTTTTGACTGTAATTCGATGTTGATGGAATATAGTCAGAAGAATAATATTTTTCTCTCAGTGTGATTTGAGTTATATGGAATGGTTATATTCGAACTAATTGCATCGTATCTTATTTTGTGATAAAACAACATTAAAAAATAAGGCACAAAATTATATTTCAATTGGACAGTCCACCGTTCAAATGATTTTTTCATCTGTTTAGTCCGCTACCAGTTGACAGTTGGTTGCAAAACGAGCACAGGATCATGCCATTTCCATTGTACCTACTCTTCTAATTATCGATATCTCATTAATTCATTAATTGAGATTAGGCTTATTCTAAAGGGGAAGAAGTGTTGTTTGCATGGAAAAAAAATTATTCTATTTCATTTCAAATTGAATGACCTGTCAACATTTTTGAAAACATCAAAAGGGGCTGTTTTATCCCACTATCTCCTATAATTTATGCATTTTTATTCAATTTTTAACTATGCGCAATCTCAGTCAAGGGATTTTTAATCCCATTTTACTATTATAACGGAGATATTAACATTTTAAAATCGTGAGTTTCTTAACTTGCGGCTTGAGAATTCACTCTGTCGTAGTACCAGTTGATGTGAATGGAATTTGTCTCTCTTATTATTCAATAAATTATTCATCATTGGTGTTGATAACTTTCCTTATCGACTAAAATAATAACTCCAATCGTATTTCACTCTTAATAGATTCTTGAAACTGTCAAAATGATTAAAATATCGTAGCTCGCGACATCTGAACAAGCAAAGTGACAGGGACGAGCATAGGTACAGTTAGCCTAGTGAAATGGTGAAATAGTGGAATTCGATTTTTGCTTGAAGTTCAGTTTTTGGAACGTCCCTTGGAATCCAGCTATAAACACGTTGTAATCTTCATCATGTTTAGTCTCATAATTCACAGGATTCTCGCATTGCATAATAAGACAATTGAAATTCGCGAGGAACTCGATTTCCTTCGTTCCCCTTAACAATCCAATCATGCAAAACAAATCGACAATTTTCAATGTCTCAAATCCAATTTTTCTCTTCATCTCCCCCACAAAATTAGATTCAATTTTATTCAACTTTTCCGTAATATTGACTATTGCTCTGGCACTTATTAATGAGAAAGGTGAAGGTTGAGATTCTCAATTATTAGACAAGAAAGACAAACTTTTAATAATGTGAGAGATTCCAAATTTTAATTTAACTAGTGAAACGGTGACATAGTGGAATTCGATTTTCGCTTGAAGTTCAGTTTTCGGAACATCCCTTGGAATTCAGCTTTAAGGCCCTACATCCACCTAGAGGGCGTCAGAACGGAGTGATTTTCAATATTTTTTTTCAACAAATAATTTGCTCATCAAGAAACCGTTAAATGTATTTCAAAATTTACTTATTTGAGCTTATTGACAACGAACTAGAATTTTTTTTCCATTCATGTATTCATTCTTCAGGCTGCTAAACAGAATCGGTTTGACATATCCCGCATCCCCTGTGCATACAAAAAGTACTATTTATCGTATCTGAAATGAAAAAATGAAACACAATCCTTAGATAATGTTAATGTGGTGTACCATTCCCATCCAAAAAAAAAATTAAAAAACTTTTTTGAAATTTTCGTGCCATTTCGGAGCAAAATTTTACCATATTTTGGACAATAACAAGAACAATATGAAAAAGAATTGTCAGTCGCAGGCAAACGCTATAAACAATCTTTAGAAAAAATGTCATACAGATCAATACACTGGTGTTGCAAATCATTTCATCAATTTCATTTCGAGAAAACGACAAAGTTTCGGTTTCGTCCTGCTGCCATTTAGGTAAAACTGACCGGGCCCGCTACAAATGGCTGTATCTTTATCAATTTAGTAGATTTTCAAGCGAAATTTCCGGAAAATATTTTTAAAGGAAAGTACAATCAAATAAAAACACTTTTGAAAAAACAATTTTTTTGACACAGATTTATGTAGGGCCTTAAACTCGTTACAATCTTCATCATGTTTAGTCTCATAATTCACAGGATTCTCGCATTGCATAATAAGACAATTGAAATTCGCGAGAAACTCGATTTCCTTCGTTCCCCTTAACAATCCAAGCATGCAAAACAAATCGACAATTTTCAGTGTCTCCAATCCACTTTTTCTCTTCCTCTTCCCCACAAAATTAGATTCAATTTTACTCAACTTTTCCGTAATATTGACTATTACTCACCAAGCCCTGATGAAACGTTAAATCAATTAACCGCTCAAACGCAGCAAAAAAGGAAATGAAATTAATTGTGTAGGTAGTTCATCGACGCTCAGCCTCGACAAACGATCGAGCCAGTGTCCGCCTTCGAGTCACTGGTGCTCTACGCCTTTCCTCAGTCTTTCAACAAACCGAGTCAGTGGCACAGTCGTGCGGTCCTCTTCAGCACTTGCATCTAAGGCTCTTGTCTGTGTTGTCATTTTTAATTTTTTCTCCTTAATATTGAAAAAAAAACATTATTATTATAGCCCCTGTGGATTTCAATAATCTTGAGTTCCAAAGAGACGTTCGAAAATATCAAATGGAAATTACAGTTAGTTGAAGATTTTTTTGGAGAATTAAATGTCAAGTGTTCACTTTCTACGATTTCATGGGATTAATTAATTATTAGATGTTGTGAATCGGCGATGCGCGTTGATGTTGTTCAGACGATGTTTGTGCAAACAGACATCACCGGTGAAGATCTTTCAGAGGATACATTCATTATTAACACAGGTACAACCACTAAATTGCAAGGCAAACGTAAATGCTACGTCGTTAGAATGTCTTTTTGATTTCATTCGGGTTAATGGCATTTTGATAACTCTTTAAAAAGTTTCTCCAGACAACGGGACCTTCTGAGACCTTGGTTCACTGACCCTGTATTTTCTTTGTACAACTGTTTTAATCCCATTTCTGTTCAACCTTACATTGACGCTTCGAACTCATCGTTCCTGGCTGGTCCGACTGTTTCTCTCGTGTCCTTGAGTCGAATTGCATTACTGGGTGCTTCCGTTTATATTTATACTCGTTTATCACGTAATAAGTGTGCCGGTTGGCACTTGGGTTTATGTCAGTGGGAAAAACAGCTGGGTGGGATTACGTAAATCCGTGGCATGCATGTTTGCAGTTTAATAGCGAGGTGAAATGAGAATTGAAAATAATTATTCGAAATTGTATGACAATTGATTAACTTCATCCTTGCATTTTTCGGATTTATAAAGGAATGAAAGAATCATTTGCCTATTTATTTTTATTCCGAGTCTTAAATTGCCTTATTATTCAGATGGCGAAGAATAATGAATTCCGAAGCGTCAATGAGGTCAAGTTGAAAATTATTGTGAAAGCTCAAGGTATGCAAATGCATTCTTTGTAGACCGGAAAAATGTGGTTGAGGGAAACTGGCCCGCAATTACGAAACAATAAAACTATGTTGTTAATTATCTTCGTGAAAAAAACCGGATCTTTCACTATGATTTCTCCTTTCACTCGAGTTTCAATTGATAATTAGATGAACCACTGAAATGAATCGAACTCATCCCGGTTGGAATTCTGCGACAGTAGTGTTTGGTGTAAGATCTTTTTATAGAATTATCATGAGTTGAAAGCACGTGTGAATGTTTCCACGACTGCAGTTCTAGTGTCTCGCGACTGCTCTCCTAATTTTTTGCTGTTCAAACAAAAAAGAGCACCGATGAATGACTGAATTCCGAAGAGTAGTTGAAACTACCGACAACATGTTGGGTTGCGGAAGAAAAATGATCCTGTCTAAAGACTCTCCTCCAATACTTTCCATTCTTCCATTCCATATAAGACAAACTGAATGCCTCAGGTCTAGTAAATAAAGAAAAAAAGAAATGGACTTTCACTGTTAAAAAATTCACGCCAATCAAGGCGTGAAACCTCAAGGTTTCGTTCAAACTGTCATTCAATTTGAGACTATAATTTTGTGGGATCAGGAAATGAACAACTCATTAGAAAGATATAATCGTATTTTCTATTGACATCCTGAACTTGAAAATTACATTGAGTGTTACATCTATTTCACTTTCGAATGAAACGTTTTATTTTATTATGAAAGTATTGAATTTCCTCAGACATTCATGAAATGGAAAATACATCATTTTAAATATACAATTAGAAGGATGTAAAATATAAGACGACCCAGGAGCTACGCTCTCTGCTCGCTCCGCTCACCAACCTCTATATGATCCTCATACGACCCCTATGATCCTTATTCTGGTCCTTGTTACCCTTATTTGGACCCTCAATCTGACCCTTGTGACCCCATTTCTACCTTTCTGACCCTCGTGACCCATATTCTGATCCTCATGTCCCTTAATTTAATCTTCGTGACCCTTGTTCTGACCCTCGCGACTCTTATACTAACCCTTATAACCATTATTCTGACCATCTACATTTAATCTGACCCTCATGACCCTTATTCTGATCTTCAAGACCATTATTTTGACCCTCGTGACCCGTATTTTCACCCCTATGACCCTTAATCTAACCCTCGTGATCCTTATTCTAACCCTTATGACCCTTATTCTGACCCTTGTGGCCCTTATTTTGACCCTCATGCCCCGTCTTTTGACCCTTGTGACTCTTAATTTTGAGTACCAAATTTTTATCACCAGAATTCGATTTGGATTTTTATAATATAGAGAGATAAGAGATTGATTGTAGAGTTCTTCATATCATGTTTTTCTAGGCGTCATATGTTCTTAATCATTATGTTGATTTATCGTGTGTCTTCTGTTCTGATAATAATATCATAATGCCTGCAACCATGAAAATTAGAAGCCCCTGTAGCGGTACATTAATATGAAACTTTTGCACTTTGGTTCTCGGACAAGAAGCCTTAGATATTTGCCCATCTAAAGCATGCGTGGAGTTACTCCAATCATGCGAAAAGTACGCTCCGTTATTGAAGATCAAATGAATGCTGTATGATATTGAGGTCGTGAGTTCGAAGCCGCAAACCCGATCCCGAAGATTGTGTAATCGTTGCCAAAGGCAGATGGCCCGCATAAATCTAGAGGGTTCAATAAATCTTCTGATTCTAATCAAAATGTCTTCCATTATTTCTCAGCTTTTTTCTTGTTCAGAGCAAAACTAGTTCAATTTTTGTCTTTTGTGTACCGCTATTGACACGGACTGATGCACTTCTCCTTTTGGTATATATATCGTATAAAAAAAACCGGTCTCGATATATCAGACCGAGGTCGCAGCTCCTCTGGACGAGATTCGTACCTTGACCACTAACTTACTTTTTTTTATGTATTTCTTCTTTTTTTTTCTTCTCCATTGTTCCGTTACAACTACTGCACTTGAATTTTTTTCCCCAGCTTTGATATTTCGAAACAACGTCAACGTAATATGCAACATAGATAAGATAGGGAAATGTCGATGAATTATGCAACAATTCATTGCGAATTTGTTCAAAGCATTCAAGGGGAGACTACTGAGTTTTAAAAGTTGCGGACGATTGGAGTGAGCTTTCTCATGCATTGAAGATCGATTCTATATGTCTAAAAATGAATAATTAGTTGTAAAGGAATTAATTGTTCGTTTGTTCCGCACACCCTTGAAGTATTAAAAATAGAGAGCCTCCAATTTCTGAGTTACAGAGATTTTTTTTTCAAAATTTTTGAATAACTATGTACAACAACAATTATGAATTAGTTTTTTAAATTTGACTCCTACACAGCTAATTTCGTTTTGCTTGAGAAAATTATCCTTAAAATATTAAAAAAATATTCTTAATTCTAGAAACATTTTTTGGGCTACTTACATGAATGGTGCAATTTTTGATTTAAAAAAAAAACAAAATTAGCTGTGTAGGCGTCGAATTTCACAAAAATGATTCGTAATTGTTATTGCATACATTTTTTCAAAAATTTTGAAAAAAAAACTTCTGCAGCTCAAAAATTGGAGGCCCTGGACTATTTTCAACATTTTAAGCCATCTACAAAATAATTATTCACTTTTCTCTCTATATTATACAAATCCAAATCGACTTCTGGTGACAAAAATTTAATACTCGAAATTAAGATTCCGAAATTAAGGGTCATGAAGGTCAGAATAAGGATCACAAGGGTCAAAATAAAGGTTCACAATAAGGGTCATAAGAGTAAGATTAAGGGCCCACATAAGGGTAATAAGGGTCAGATCAAGGGTCTAAAAAAGTGTTACAAGGGTCAGATTAAGAGTCACAAGGGTCACAGGCAGGATCCAATTAAGGGACATGGAGGTCAAACACCAAGGGTCACCAGGATAAAAATAAGGGTCAGGAGGGTTATAATGAGGGCCAGATTAAGGATTTTAATGAGAGTCACAAGAGTCAGATCATGGGGGTTAGAAACTAAGGGTCACAAGGGTCAAAATAAGGGTGTCAATATCTCTATATTATAAAATTCCAAATCGACTTTTGATGATGAAAATTTGGTGCTCGAAATTAAGACTCCAAAATTAAGGATCAGAAATGAAGGGTCAAAATAAGAGTTACGACGAATGTAATGAGGGTCACATTCAGGGTCACAAGGGTCAGAATAAGGATCATGGGAGTCATATGGGGGTTGGCGAGCGGAGCGAACAGGGGGCCCCCTACTAGACATAATATATAATCGATCTTCCATATGTGAGTAATCTCATTCCAATAGCCGGCGACTTTTAAAACTCATAGTTATCTCCCCTTAAGCTTTTTGGTGTCGATTTTTAAAAATGATTGATTTTATTGTTTTTTTTGTCGTTTCCAGGATTAACCGAGAGATGGGAGGATTTGTCCCACAAAGTTGAGGAGGCGCAGCGAGCCAGTGTCCTCCAGAGAGAATTGGCCGCTATGCACTTGGAGTTCAGAGGAGCTTACGAGAGACTCATTTCACATGAAGTCGTTCTTGAGCCGGATCACATACTCGCTAAGCGTATCAATCAAATCACGGTGAGTGACATTATATATTTCTGCATTTACGCATGCATAGGAAATTTACTCGCGAAATAATGGCTCAGTGTTCCTCATGGCACACGAGAGGGTGAAAACATTATTTACTACACTCATTGGATTGAAACTGTGATTTGAATTCAAAGATATGAACCACATGTAGTAGAATTTCCGCATTGCCTACAGCTTCAACTCTACCTTATCAACAGTTGAATCCTTACCGCCGATCCCCACAACGAGGATCTTCATTACCAATTCTAGAAATTCGCAAATGTGAATTCCAGAAACGCCAAACTATTTCTCCAAATATTCGAACGTCATAACGTCACCGCTTCTGCTGCAAAAAAAACGTGATTGGAAATGCGATGATTTTCTCTTTTTGTTTTTTTCCCTCCAAAAGAAATAATGAAATTTTACTCGTTCAATTCTGTAACAATTTCAATTGAACAGAATGAAAGAGAAAAATTTTGAATTTCCATTTTTGTGTCAAAAAACGAATCGGGTGGGGGTGTGCATAGTGCTGGAGAGGGAGACAGGGAAGATAGAAAGGGAGGTGAATACTGGCGTAAAAGCGTAGTCGTGTCGCACGTACGATCGTCGGCGTACGACGTGCTCGGAATGAGCAAAACCCGTCGGAGTGCGAACCAACCCCCGGGGATGGTGGTAACGCTGGCCTCCTACACTTCCACCGACTGTCGGCCCTCTGCACCAAGCCCACAATACCCTTTGGGCCATCCTCATTGCTCAGACCAAACACATGCTCCCTATCTATCATCAAGATGTATTAGCGTTCAACATTTGCTGTGCTGAACTCGTCTCACTTCTGCATTATGCACGAAGTAGACGAGATGTACCTGTTTTCGTCGACGTGGGGCATTGCAATTCGGTCAAGTGTGCAGAGAACAATGTACTTCACCAATTTCTCATTCGGGAAACATTTCACATGAGACAATCGTGTTTTCTTCAAATGGAATAAGAAATCATTCTGAAATAAAGGTGATAAACTTCCTCATGTGATAAAGTCGGAGATTGATTTATTTTTTCCAACTTTTTTTGATGGAATAATTAGTCTATACGCAATACCCCCCTCTCGTGGTCACTAAGAGGTCGATGAAATTTTATTATTGGATTTCATGTTTTTGAGGCTGAGGAATCCTAATTTTTTGGTTATTTTTTCCTCCAGCTGCACAATAATTTGTTATAAACAAATTAGTCCTCATTTTCAGTAAACAATGATTTTCCGCAACAACTGGGGGGAATACAGAAAAATATTTCGAAATAAAGTTATTCTTCTTTTTCTTACGAATAAAATGATTTTTGACTCATCGAAATTGGCCCAATAGCTCCCGAGATTCCTATTCTAAAAAAAATACACTTAAAGTCGATAACTATCGATATATCGCAAGTCTGTCACGTTTATTTCTCATTGGGGCCAGTCGTCTGAGGCGGTAAATTTAATTCATGATTTAATTTTGAGATTTTCAATTATGATTATTACAATTACAGCGCGCTGTAGCGCGCGTTCACTCTCGTGAGTTAAAGACTGAGCACGGGTGGATATACACTGAGAAAAAAAAATATTTTTGCCAAATATCCATTTACTTGAGGGAAGAATTTATTTTTTCAACACCGTATTTCTCCATTCGAGCCATTCTCAAGCAATTCTCATTGGGTTTAATTATGTCAATTATATTGCTCTAGAAGATGAACCTGTTGTTTATGACCTTGAGTGACCTCCTTCAATAATTATCAACATTAAAAAATTGAGCGAAATTCTTCTCTCTAGAAAATAGGAAATTTAGGAAAAGTGAATAATCATTAGAGGAGTCCCTCCAAGGTCATGTGGAACATAATCATCCTTTAAAGCACCATGATTGTTATAATTGAAACCCAATCAGGCTCACCTGAGAATGACTCGATTGGAGAAATACGATTTTGAAAAAAAGAAAAACTTCTCTCAAGTAAATGAATATTTGCCAAAATTTTTTTTTTCTCAGTGTACTGCGCGGAAGACGGGTCAGTATGGGCGCGGATCAGAGTATCTAAACGAATATCGTTTGTTTTTGCATGTTGTATTGCACTGGATAATTGCATAGAGGAATGATATTCGTAATATAATGATTATTTCTAGTTTTTATAATACACTACTCTTTATTTCGGGTAAGGCACCAAATGTGTTGCGTGCTCCGAGAAGACGTTGTAAAAATGTCGCCAGCAACTTATGATAATAATATACAATTCCTATTAGCAGATGAACGGAAACCCCTTTTCGTTGAGGTTAACGATATCTACAAGAATGAAAGAACAAGCCAATTATATGAAAATTTATAAATTTATACTCTACCTTTATTCATAGGGTTTTGGCATTGTTGAGGCAAAGAACAGTTACAATAGGAAATACAAGACACCTGGTTAGCTCAGCAAGCACAAGTATTACGTGAGCATGCTTTACACGTGCAAGGAGGAATTAGTTCAAATGATGGAGGAATCAATGCAGTTACTCGACTGGGCTTGAGAATGCCATCCATATTGTCAAACCGGAATAATTCTGGATTCAATTTCTCTCTCATAGGATCAAGACAGTAGATCCTATGAGGTTCTATGAGATCCTATCAGTAGCGAAGTGGTGAAACGGTTTAAGTCGACTTATCTCCCAGTTGAGTTTTTGAGGAATACTTCCGAATCTAAGGGAGATAACGAAATTATCGTAATCACATTTGTTGTAGTTCTCAATCGGCTCTACAAAAAAGTTTATGGTAAAAATTTTGCCATCTCCCTTAGATTCCGAGATATTCATTGAAAACTGGTCAGTAATCAAAATTGACTTAAACCGTTTTATCACTTCGTTACTGGTATGATCTGCGCCCATTCTTCAATGCATATTTCGGGAACTATTGGGCCCATTTCGATGAGTCAAAAATCATTTCATTCGTAGGAAAAAGAGGAATAACTTTCGTTCGAAACATTTTCCTGTATCTCTCTCGGTTTTTGCGAAAAATCATTTGTTCACTGAAAATGGGGACTAATTTGTTCATAACAAATTATTGCAAAAACATGAAATCCAATAATAAAATTTCATCAGCCTGTTAATGACCACGGGAGGGGGTATCGCGTATGGACTAAATTGAATATTGGAAGATTCTAGACATGAGGATTTGACAATTTGTTCATTTCAAGCAAATCTGTGATGGAAATATAGTATTATTTGCAACGTTCGATGAAATGAATGAGAAAGAGAGAGAGAGAGAGAGAGAGAGAGAGAGAGAGAGAGAGGGCGAGTAACCTTACGGATGGAGTTGAGAATGACAAATGTATTATGCGTTCGTAAACATGCATAGCTGATCGAGCCCACGCGTTCTGGCATTCAGGATGGTTGAATACGGTTCGAAAGAAGGAGAAAGAGAGACAGACGATAAAAAAGATATGACTGGAACTTTGATGAGATTATGTTGTATTGCTGTTGCGCATAAACCATACGAATGCGTCTTCAGCATTCATTGCCGTCACCTGAACATACTTTATCTTCAAAAGTTATCGGCCAACTATTCTTCTTGAGATTTTTCTCTTCTCCGTGTCATTTTCGAAAACAAATCGCAAAATTATTTAAAAATCGCAAAAAAAAACTGGATGAAAGTGAAAAATTACAAAAAATACAATGTGATGGAGCAAAGAAACAGAACTCTGTAGCGAAGTTGGTGAACTGGTATTTTGTCATAAACTTCTTAATTCATGTTATCCACGGAAAAACCATTGAAAGATTTTTTTTATCCTAGATCTGAATTTTTTTTCAACGGCCTCGAAATTTTTTTCCAACATTATTAGTTATGCAGTTGACAGAATATTTAACGAAATGTCATTAATTGAACATGTGAAGGTTGTACCACAATACTACTAAATTTTTTCAGTTCATTGAAAGAGTTTCTATTTTGCAGAGGTGGAGTTTTTCCCTCTGTGGTTTCCAAGTTTAAAATCGGATTTTTAATCAAATAACAATTTTTATTATTGCCAGGAAAGCTTCACATTGTCCTTGTCCCACCGCGAGCCTCATAAGCATTCATGTCCTGACGTCGAAGCGGTTGCTCTGTATATACCAAATTCGAATCAATTGATTGGCTGTTGATTGGAAATTGAATTAGATCGGAATGCGCGTGTCTCTCTTTGTGGGAAGGGGGGGGGGGGCAAAACGTAGCAGTATACCATTGACGACTGCTTCTGGCATTGCCGGTGTGACTTGAATACAAATGCCAACCATTTTTGCCAAGCCGAGGGGGAAGAAATGTCTGTCGTTCGACTTCCGCTCTTCTGGCGCGTCATCTGATTGTTCATAGTCACACAAAGTGGTTTGAAAATTTCTGCAAAATTCTTTCATGTTTATTTAAAATATTCATAATCTTTGAAAAATATTTCTTTGCAAATCAAGATTGGTTATTTCTGGTGAATGATTTAAAATTGGTGGTAGGGAAAAATTCAAATATCTTCTCTGATGGAGAGTTTGGTTGTTATACATGTCAACATCTTTGGCCACGGTTCTGCAGAAAAGAGACGAAAAAGTTGTCATTTCCGGGGACATGTCATTGATTTTCAGGAAATTATCCCTAATTATTAGGGATTCGTGATTGTAAAATTTAGTGATTTTGTCACCAATTTTCAGTAACATCTTCACTAATATTTAGAGTAATGTCACTAATTTTCAGAGACTCATCTCAATCTATCACCAAATTTCAGTGATAAAAATCACTGACGATTAGGATCAATCTAGTCAGTGTCCAGTACAGCGATAACCATATTCATAAATCATAATTACCGTTAAATTTTGAAGCCGTCAATAAGTGAACAGCACCTTGAACTTTTAATTATTCAAGTGATCATCAAATTAAATATTCATATTTTGAACTATTTTATTAATCAAGAATTTAGGTAGAAAGATGGCTGATTATTTGGTTTCGCCACTCCCTTTTAAGAAATTAGAAAGATTTACTTAATGCAAAATTTACAGTTCTATATTATCAAATATTGCATTTATCATCAATTGGAAATTTAAACTATTAATATTACATTATTTTTAAATGTTGATGAGTATATTTAAACATTTATCAATATAAGTAGCAAAATATTTTAATGAAAGAAAGATAAAGAAATATAGTATTGATGGCGAGGAGCTATTCACAGGCATAATCGTGGTGTCACTCGCTGATGTAATCAATTGTAATCCCAGTGAAGTCAATGTAATCATTGTAATCACATGATTACCATATTTATAATCAAGTTTTGGTAATCAAGTGGTAATCATTTGTAATCAGTGTAATCTTTCGTAGTTGCTCCTAGTGAGACCGTGAATTAAGTTTTTTAATTTTCGAGTGCGTCATTTCCCCCAACAGTAAATCTCAGAGATCCCTGGATCAATTTTTTTTGGAATTCCAGATGTTTATGGTTCAGAACCTTGCATAGCCAATGCGTTTTGCACAGAGCATTTGTCCGTAGAAAATTCATTCAACAGAGTTAAAATTTCTTCTTATTCTGGAGAACCAACAACTGAATTATCTCTGAATTATCTGCTGCTAAGTTTGATTCTCCATCAATGGTAGATATTTAGTAAATTTATTTTGCTGATAGTACTTATAAATGCCCAAATTTTTAGATGGAGTGATGGAGACTGCATTTCTCTGTTCTAATCCCCGCCCCTCCTTCCTCATTTCTTTGCAGGTTCTAATAATTAATTATTCCATAAATTCATATTTAATGAGAGGCAATTTTTCGTGATTTCACTGATTACAGATGTTTGATAATCGCAGAATGTAATCGACGAAATCATTTGTAATCATGTAATCACGTTCTGTCCTCTCGGTAATCGCGGTTATCACATAGGCAATGGTAATCAGTGTAATCAGTCCCGTAATCCTGCGTAATCGAATACATTTTTAAATCGCGGTGTCACCCAATTCGCCTGTGAATAGCCCCTCGATTGATGGCCATCCCTGGTCCAGTATCACCAATAATTCTTGATAGATTCCTGAGAGCAGTGACATGTCCCATGAAATTAGTGAACTGTTGAAAATCGCAATTTTATTTCTTTCGCTTTTTTTCTTCTAAATTCAGCCATAATCAAGGCAGCGGGAGAGTTATGGAGATGTGCAGCAAAGCAATTCATTAAATATATTGGCGTCTTCAAGATTCCCCGACATGTGGATTTTGCAATTTTTATGCTTTGATAATTTATTTTATCGCAGCGTAACGATCATAAAAGTCATAAGTAAATTTTAATGACCAAACGAAGTTTGAAAATTTCGACCTTTCGTCGAACACCTGTCGTCAATTAGTAGTCCCGGGTTAGCGGTAATAACCGTATCAAAACGAGGACATAAACGTGTCCTACAAAGTTTACATCCTCGGTTTGCTCACGAATGTGTAGCAGTGGAGAAAGATGGAACGGTTGGATATCCAGTGTTGGGATGGATGGGGATATAGTAACGTAAGGGATGTAAGTGGTTGGTTGGGCGCGGAACTACGATGGAGTAACCGCGTCACGTTGTCACGTTCCCGTCGTCCTACTTGAGGCGGCCGACGAGGACCGCATAAATAACCCCTCTTCCCTACCCGGGAGTTTACGACGTTGCGCCACACGATCTAAGAGGGCTCGTGTACCAAGGCTTCCGTGACCGGGGACCAGGAGGACATTTCATCGTAAAAGATGCTACAACAGTCATCATCCCGGACAACCAAAATCGACAAATTTCTTCGTTGTTCTTGTCCCTGGCAAACTTTTCTCCGGAAGATCTTTGAATCTTGATAGCATTCAAGTGTACACTGAGAGAAAAACGACAGAGCTTTCAAACAAGTCTTACACATGCTATTTTCCGTCCCGGCGGGCGCAAAGTTACATTTCCCTCCTGCTTCGCGGGAAAAAGAATAATTATTTTATTATTAAGAATAATATATTCTTTATTGAAAAGAATATATTATTCTTTTCACTTATGTAAAAAATGGCCTTTTCTCAACATCAGTTAATTTTATAGTTGCTGACGTAAAAATTGTATCGTAGATATTCTACAGTAGTATTAGTCAAGGATGTCTCATGAATAGTGTCCTACAACGGTTTCTCACGGTGCATTGGATGGATATATGAGTCCGAAGAACGATTTTTTTGTATCTTTCATTTCTTTGATATAAAACATTTTTTTACTGCTTCTTTGGGAAACCACAGAGTTCATACATTTTCCCACCTAAACGCCCATAAATTCACCCTCAGTACAACTTTTTTTTACCGGCAGTACGGGTGTGCGATTCATTTGAGTTAAGTTGCGGGAACGAGGCAGTAAAAATGTATATTTGATGTTACAGAGTGAGCTTGGCACACTGAGGGAACGCAAAAGCGCAATGCTGGCGCTCAATGTATCAGCACACCGGTTGATCACGGATCTCGGGGCAGCTGCCACCTCAGTCTCTGTATCTCTGAAGGATGCCGTTGCTGATTTGTACAGAGTGTGGGATGAAGCCTTCCAGAGGTAAATATGTGTATTCCGAAATTTGTTGTCCTCAGATATGTGTAATTTAGGAAAATGGAAATATCTAGTCCAGACCTGGTACCAAACAAATAACAGCCATAGCTGAAATAATCACCCTCCGCAAAATGACAAAAATTCGCCATCCTGATAACCCTGTCCATAATCCCTCCAATACCATACTTTATGAACGCACCAAAACAGAACCCATCGCCGATAGATTTCACAAAACTGACAACGAGTTTTGCTCTTAGCAAACTGGATCATATTCGAAACCTCTGCCACAAACGCAATCCTAGGGCGCCCTGGCAGGTCCCCCGATTGAAATTCGATCGACTGTCGATTGTAGAATCGAGTTGATCAGTATATCGATTCGTATGCGAGTGTAGTTCGATTCAGATCTCAGATTATTGATGGAATCGAAGATGAATCGACTTCATAGGAAGTCGGTAGCTAGTGAATTTCGAATGACAAAAATTTATTGCACCAAAACTTGAACGGCTCACGGGGTGGTCGATTATGAAAGACTCCGTACGGTCGGACCAGGATCGACTTGAAGAAAGTCGATTGTGACTCGATTTCCCGCATATTTTCCCGCATTAACAGATCCGCCAGGGTCAGGTCTCGTGACAAATACCCTCAGCGCACCTTATTTGAGAGTCTCGAAGCCATCCGAACGGAGAATCTGGGCTCTAACTTCTGGGGATTAAATAAAAAAAAATTCTGGGGAGGCCTTATTCACCTCCAACAATAAATCGTGAAATTCTCTAACTTCTCACTCTTCATATCATCGCTTTATGCTGTGCCATCTCGCCATGCACTCAATCTTCTAAAAATTATCTTTCATTTCTCGATCCTCATCCACCGAAATGAACACAGAAATAGACTTTTCCTTTTTTGTTAGTACACTGACGGAAGAAATTAATTTTATCAACAGAATTTTACTTGGTCCTACTATCATTTGGTTGTTCATTTTGAAGTAAACATGATTTCATAGTGAATACCAGTTATCTCTTCTTGAGATACATTTAGTTGGGAAAAATCGAACTTTTCTAGAATTGAAGTTCCTTTTGTTTATCGCAATAATGAAACTATTTGATTCCTTTCTAGCCAAAAGTTTGACAACTCCAGAAAATTCGTTGGTTTATTCAAAAATCAAAATTATTCTCATGACTAAATACGTTGTAATTTCAATCAACACGATCACACGTTATTCCAAGTAAATTATAATTGAAGTGAGCATTTCGTCTGTCGAATCAGGGTGAATATTGTTACGCGGAAAAAGCTTTGAGAATGTCGTAAGATGTCGTTGAGTTGAAAGAAGTTTATATTTCTTGACTCAAAAAAATCGCATTAGTTCCCAATAACAGAGTCACAGATTGCGGCAAGTCAACACAAACTTGGATATCACAAATTTCGTTCAATGTGATGTACGGAAAGCTCAATTTAAACATCGGCTTCATTCGATAAGACAACATTCACTTAATTCCTCAATGTAATCATCTCCTAGGTACGGATTTTTGATCAATTCATGAAAGTAGAAAATTTCTCGACTGAAGTTTATATTAGGTAAAAAAAAATAGAACTTTTTCATTTTTGTGGTGAATACATGTGATTGATTCAATTGATTGATTCAAGTGAATGCATCTCAAGAAGAAATAATTGATATTCATCGTAAGATCTTATTTATTTGAAATTGGCTCAATTATATAATACTTATGCCAAGAAAGAAAAATCTCAATAAAAATATTTTTTTCTATCAGTGTACTAACTATTAGATTCATAAAATGTAATTACTTGGCTGAAGGCCTCGGAGCAATGACCATTTGCAAGTTTCTTGGAACTTGCAACAGATTTGGTTAAAAATAAATAAAATAAATGGAAATATCAATTGTTGAACGATCAAATTGCTCGAGGACATATTGGGTTCATTGGGCAGCGGTTGACGTTGGCCAAATATTGTGAGAGGTAATGAAGCCTCCAATGCAAACAGAGAGTGAGAAAAACGAAAAAGGAGGATGGTGTGATACGTATAGGGGGATCTGGGCTTTCGAGACCCATGTCACGGGATTACCCGGGATTTCCCTCGGATTCTGTGCTTTAATCGTACTTCCCCCTTCTATACACAACTACGTGTCACTTACAGTCCTAGTCTTGTCGAATTTCAACGTATTTTACTTACTCTTCATTTGTTGAAATGTTCATTAATCTAGATGAGGGAAAGTATCACTGAAAATGGTTTTGATGACTTTTTCATATTTTTCTTCAAATGCGCATTCTCTCTCTCCCACTTTTGGCTGGAAAAAAACTGGTCAAGTGAATCAATAAATCATAATGTTGGATGGAAAATCAATTTTAAGAAAGAAAAAATAAAAAGTTCCATTCTCTGGGGAAAATAACGTTTTGATAAATAAAAAAAATAAAGGGGAAATTATCTGAATATAAATATTCAATATTTGTGATTGCATATTTACCAAACGAGGCAGCATAGGAATCAGAGAGCAGATTTAAACCTCAGGTCTTTGGGTCAGTGGTCAAGCTCCTCCTCTGGTCATCCCCTGGGAAATCCCTATCGGCAGTGGGGGATCACAGGATACGGTTTAGGAATTAAAATGGGGATTAATGTATTACGAGTAGGACTAATATTCTCTCTCGAATTTCATTAAATATTCACTTTTGCGTTTTATTTTATCGCCTCGCTCCAACAAAGATTAAAAGAAACTGAGGTTCATGTTAGTCATAATCTTGAACTCAAGATTCAATTTTTTTCTGTACAAATACTCTCTGCAAAATTAATTTCTAATTAGGTATTTGACTTGGAAGGAAAACATATTTGTTTCATCACGCAGTAGGCTATTTTAAAAACCATCATGTTCGACGTAAAAGCGTCAAGAAACGTCGAGTTTACAACCGCGAGGGATGTCATATAATAAAACATGCTGTCCAGTTTTCATTACCCCATGAAGCATTAACGATCGTCTTCTGGACACCGGATCACCCTCTCAATGCTCTCTCCCTCACTTTATTTATTTATCCATTTTTTCCCCAAATGGTGGAAGGTTTGTATTGATGGAGCGTGTAGGAAAAAGGGCGTTTGCCAATCAGATCGATACATCGAGATTGCACTTGAACACGGTAAAATGTTATTCTTTGCCTCGGGGCCCCAGGGGTGAACGAATTCTAGTAATAATTTGGAAGGAGAGTGTTTACAAAAAGGCTTGGGGTCGGCGGGTCACGATTAATTTTCCAGTCTACCCAAAAAGGAAATATTTTGTCAACGTCACTGGGAATTGCAATCGTTTGAGTTTTGGTTTTCAGTGACATTCTTTTGTTTTGCTTCAGAATGGAAGTATTGTAATCGTTTAAATTTCAGTTTTGGATTTTTTATGTTTGTGTGGTAGAATTTTTCTTCAATTGTTCGCTAATGAATGAATAGAATTGAATCTTTTTTTTTTCAAATATAGATATTGTTGAGCCGTATGGATTGCCATTAATTAAAATTTAATCCATGGATTAGTTTTTTGAATTTTTGAATTTTTTCGAAAATCGGATGTCCCGCGATATTTAAAAGGAATGTTCTGAATTGATTGAATGATGGCTTTAAAAAATTGTGATGTCTCCTTAATCGAGTTCGAAGATGAAGGTAATAGCAATAATCGTTATTTTGATTTATTCGAAAATTTTCAAAAGTTTTGTATTTTTTGAAAATCAGAATTCCGGAGATATCTTTGAATATTATGCTTCAAATGAATTAAGTCATAACTTCAAATGTTTGTGTTAAATGCCATTAATTCGAAGTCAGACGATGATTACGATAGCTACATTGGTGTATTTGATTTTTATGATGATTGTTGAAAATTTTGAATTTTTCATGAATTTCCTTGAAAGTGACCTTTCTGTTGGTTTTCTCAAATGTGATGTTTCAAATTAATTCATGCGTAAATACAATTTTTCTATTAACATTTTATCGAAGGGCTTAGGGGACAGAACTGTAAAAAAGACAATCGGTTGTATAGAAGAAAAGGGATAATAAGAATAATGATGCTGATAACATTCAACTAAGTTGAAAATGTGACAAAATTCGGGACAAGGAAATCTTATTCATTTTAATAAAATGAAACAAACAATGAATTACACATGATAGAAGGAAATGATATGCAAAATAACCATTCGGAAGCATATTGCTAATTTATGAGCAAAGATAACTATACTATATACAATACAAGAGCAATTTCCCACTTGTTTGATTATTTTCATTTGTTGAAAATTGAAAATTGTCTCTCTTATTCTTTATGTGTTGATTTTCAGTATTTAGAAGTATTCATTGAGTTATTGTCAACTTATTTTTTCTCTTGTAGGGGAAACCAACAGTTGTGTGCACTCCAGGCTGTCCAACAATTTAGTACTCGTCTCACTGAGCTCCAGAGTGCTCTCCAGAGAGACAAAGATACCTTGGCAGTTCTGGATGCAGCCCTACAGGCTGGTGCCACCTCAGAAGTTGCATCCTCGGTTCGAGACGTCGCCAGGCTACTGTCGGAGAAACAGGATGTGAACTCACAGGTAAATTCAGTGCTATAGATTGGAAATATTTACATGCCGATGTATCAGGGGCCAATTACTCATTATACATTGAGTCATTCGAAGGAAATTGAATAGATTCTTAGAAAGCTCATCAAGAGATACATTCTCAAAGTAATGAGGATGAGAGGAGGAAATGAGAAAACATCTGTTTCCATCGGAAATTAGTCGGCACATGATTCGAGATGTATTACTATCACCTCTGATGATCTGCAACTCGGGCAATCTGTAAACCAATTCCATAGGCAAATTTACTTCGTCGACCAATCGAAGACAGAATGGAAAAAACGTCATTATAAAATATATTTATCTATATTATAAAAATCCAAATCGACTTCTTGTGATAAAAATTTGGTACTCAAAATTAAGACTTCAAAATTGAGGGTCACACGGATCAAAATAAGGATTATAAGGGTCATGAGAGTCACAATAAGGGTCATGAGGATCAGAAGAAGGGTCATGAAGGTCAGAATAAGGGTCATAAGGGTAGAATAAATGTCCAAGTAGGGGTGGCAAGGGTCAGATTAAGGTTCATATGGGTCAGATTAAAAGTCAGATTGGGGGTTCAAATAAAGGTAAAAAGGGTCAGGATAAAGATCATGGGGATCATATGTGGGTCATATGGGCATTATATTTTTTTTTATAAAAAATTATGATCTATTCTCAAATTAGTTTTCATTTCGCTGAATACAAATATGTTGCAGTTTTCAAAGAAACCATTCCCTTTCGTAAATTCGCAAGAAGAAAAATATTTTTGCTTCTTCAGAATTCTTTCAAAGTCGATTTGCATATAAAGTAAAACTCTTACCCTACGAGTTGGTTTCTCATCGTGTGACTTTTCCAATCGGCCCTCTGCTCGTGCTCATTTTGCACGTCAAGAAGACGTACTGCTCTACTTGACTAAACCAAGATACTCTCATACTCCTTTTACATACTCCTTCTGTGGTTCTTTTTTTCGTTATTCTTTGTCACTCGGCATGCGCCACGACGTGATCCCTCTGCTCATATAAAAGAAATAAGCCGATACTCTTTGCTCTTAAGGAGACGCAGCATTTCTTCTTCGTTCGAATCTCCTCGTTGGAGCTACGAGTCCCTGAGGAATCATTTCGGATATTCTGCATTGCTATTCCCCCCACTAAACCCCCCTTCCCCGCTTTGAGAATCACCGTTTTTCTTTTCTCTCTCTCTCTCTCTCTCTCTCAGTCTCTACATTGCGAAATTAGTTTTCGGATCAAAAGATTTAGCGTGATTTCCTGTATTTGTTAAGAGAAATTTTAGATTGTTGTTTCGTTATAGGATTTTTCGGACTTATGAAAAGAATTGCCACCAACAACTGGCAGCGAAGTAACAATTATCTCTAAAAAGATGAGTCGTTGTCGTCTGTTTTGGGATTACTTCCTTCCATCGAAGTGTCAGTCATGTATTTTTGATAAATTGAATTGATTATCTCTCTTTCTCCCCCGGAAAGGGTGATTAGTTATTTAAAAAAATGTATCGCTCGGAAAAAGTAAATATTATTGCAACTTTTTAAATGAATAATTAGAAAAACCGTTGTAGTTATGTGAGTTCCACCCTGAAAAATTTGAAAAAAATATATGTTGTGGGAAATATTGCTGAGATAGCTGTGTCAAAATTGTGGTTAATGACATTCACTGATGGTTGAGGTATTAATTTTTTTATGCAGTCGCGCGCTATCCGCCGTTCAGTGCACTACCCAATTCAAGCGCTCTCAATCCGCTGAAATTTTGAACAACCGTAGTTCACTCAATACTTATTTCATGGTAAAGTAGGTTTTTTTGTTGTTACAAAAAAATTAATAATCATGAAAACACTTGTTTTTTTTTTAAGAAAATGGATTTTGGAAGAGAATGGAGCGCTCAAATTGGGCGGTGTACTGAGCGACAGAGTCGTCACATGACTTCATTAAAAAATTAATATTTTATGAGCCAGTTAATGTCATTAAACCAAAAATTTGACACAACGTTCTTAATAATATTCCTCACAAGGTATATTTTTTTCTCATTTTTCAGCGTGAAACTCACGAAACTACAACCATTTTTCTAATTGTTTATTTAAAAAATACTATAATGTTTACTTTTTTCTATGATTTTTTTTTTACATAACTAATCATCCTTTCTGAAAAACAAAGCCCTTCTGAAATTTTTGGATTACATGCGTAACTTTTGAGCATGTCTATTCATTATTCGCTGGAATTTCACAATTGTTATAACTTCAACAACAAAAATTGGCCTGTTAATAGGATCTCTGGTCCTCCGTTTTGACATATGCAATTTTCAAAACAAAAAAAATTTTTTTTTGCCCCCATTAAAATAGCGTGGAGTACCCCATAAATTTAAATGGGTTAGATATTTTACGGAAATTAGATTTGGATTTCAGCATTTCAAAGTGAATGGAGTTTTAATCATTGAATCGAGAAATAACAAATCCGTACCAATATGAATTTAAAAAAAAATCTAAGAATTTTACCATCCATAATAATTGAGAAATTTCGCAAGTGAAGTTGCGAAATCAACTGTAATGAAACTACTGTGGCCCGACAATTTAACCCTCGATGTTTGATTTCCGTCACGTTCTGTGTACAAGTGAAAATTGCAACGATTTAGCAACAAAGATCCCACTCAATGTATTAAAAGATGTATCCATAAGAGTTAGAGTTCACCAGAAGTCCGAAGAGAATGTCTCGTTGTGTACTGTAGCCACCGATACCCAGTGATATTAAATTTGTATTTTTACGCTGATTCCACGGGCCATCCCAGTACGTGATACGAAAGAAAATCGTCCGGGCGATTAACGATCCGAGCCTCCCCTGGGAAAAACCGACTCACCTTTTTTTGGGAGAGAGAGAGTGGAGGCGTCCACGAGGAAAAAAAATACAGAAACCTAAACCATCGAGTTCGGTTGATCCCCCATCTCTTCTCTACTGCCTTGACCCTTATATCTGATATTTTATTTAGTATCCATCAATATGGAGGGACGCTGGATGATCGTGCCAACAATGCGCTTGAAAACTTGCCAAGATTTCTCGGACACTAGAAACAAAATTTTTATTTCCTCATTTCTTTCCATTATTTTAAATTGTACATGTTTGAAAATACCAAACTATTGTGGCTTTCCAAAATACATTGATATTCAAATGAAATTTTTATTCCTGGATATACTCATTAAAGAGTTGGAATGATACTGTAAATATTGAAAGAATTGGATTGCACGGAATCGTTTGAACAATTTTCATCCATGAAATTTGTAGAGAAGAAAAATATTCCAGAAGTTTCACCCAGAGATTTGATATTTCTCAATATTTTTTCCTTTCAAATTGAGAGAAAAATTTGATCAAGCAAACTTTTAAGTTCAGGTCGCCTGGTGTTTGACCCCTTGAGTACTACTCCACAACGCCACACCTAACACGGCTAGACTAGGTTCATACTCCGGAATCGGAGAGAGACTACTTGGTATGCGGATCGCGCTTTTCATTACCGGAGGCTCGTTCCCCGTCGTCTCTGGCGCTCTAGCTGCAAACAGCCTAAATCTACTCTCGCTTCTTGGTTTCCCTCAGGTTCCCTTTTGCCTCCGTCTGAGTTCCTTGGCTACCAAAGAACACACTCCTCCAGGGCTTTCTCTCTGCACTCTCGGTACCCCTCCCTCTCTCTTTGCCCGGGACTTCCGTTGAATCTATATCATTGCCTTCGCCGTCTTTGGCTTAGTATCCGCACTGGATTATACAGTATTCGGAAAACGGAGGCAAATTTTATTTTACACTGAAATCGAATCATTATAGATTATTTTTCGTTTATAATTGACTTATTGGTATAGGGGAGGTTGGGGTAAAACGGACACCTTTGACTTTTTTTCAAATGTTAATGGGGGGTTGAAATGTTGATAAAATTCAATAATTTTTCTTTCAATACAAAGAACAATTCTTTCCCTTTGTGGCGAGCCGAAACTGAGCTCAATTGATCAATTTGTTTCTGAGTTATGAATAATTAAAAAAAAGTCTAAAGTGTTCGTTTTACCCCACCCTCCCCTACGTAGTAAAGATAAATCATGCAGTGGAATTTGAAGGACATTCGAAGTTAATAATAAAGACATTGTTTACAATAAGTGTTGGAGATAAGGTTGAAGAATTAGATTGAACGGTGATATGATTTTACTGATAGGTAAATATCAAAGGTTACATCTTAATCTTGAAGCATATCGACGTAAATTAGGTCGGAACCTGGTCGCTATAAATGAATTTAATCTCTTTGAGTTATCACACTTAGTTATATGGATGCTCATGTAGATGTACGGGACTGCCCATTCTACGCATTTCCTTTTTTCCCTTTTTTTACAGATATTTGTATCCTGAAAAGGCACCATCTTACATGAATGAACCGCCTCTTGAGCCAAATATTTCGTTGTTGTTGAAGGCGGAGTAATCATTCATGTTTGAGACTTTCAAATTCGAACCAAACAAAAATTTTTTGGTAATTTTCAACTAACGATTTTGTTGGCCGAAACAAGACTTGGTTGAGAACTTGTTCGTTTTTCTCTCAGCGTGTAGTGTCAGAAATATATTTTGGGACGATTAGTTCATCGTGGAGATCGCGCTGTGCATATTTTGGGCCGGATATATTTTTAACATTCTTCCGTGGAGAGCGTTGGGTATCATTGATGCGGTAGCCCGAAAAATTATGGAAGGCTGCAACAACTTAGGGTTGTAAGCCGCAGGTATGTCGGTGTTGCAGCTCGCCAATGAATCCCCAACCACTGATACGGGAACATAAACCTTAAGCCGGGTCCCTGTTAATCTGTAAGGGGTAACAGAATGCCGCTAATTTTCCAAATTTTTGAACAAATTTCCTGCCGAAATTTATCGATATTTTTACGAATCGAAGCACATTAATCTCGAGTAGGTGATGATGAAGATCAATGTGCTTTAGGTTCGAAAAATATTAATAACTTTGAGCAGGAAATTTGTTTAAAAATTTCGAGGAAACAGTGGCCTTCTGTTACCCTTTCAAATTTATGATTCGACCGTAATAATAGTATATTTCGTAACGAGTGCGAAAAAGTGTTTTTTGGCGAGTGGGAGGTTTATATCACGAGCCGAAGGCGAATGATATAATCCCACGAGCTAAAAAACATTTTTTCATCACGCTGTGACGAAAAGTTCACTTTTCGTCACTGCGTGATGAAAAAGTAGTTTTCTTCAAATTCTGTTTTAAGAAGGACTCTTTCCTGTGAGAGACCAAAAAAAGGGCTGACAAATAAGAAATGGCACCTACGGTCTTTGTACATATGAAAATAAGAAACTTTTCCGTTAAGGTACTTCTGCAGTAGTCATATGGGAGTAGAAGGAAATGTGTTACAGGGTTGAAATTTTGAGAATATATTCTTTCAATAAATTAGAAAGTTGTCTCGAAAGTCCCAACAAGATTTACCACATTGATTTTTGTAGTGAAAAAAATTAAAATTGTCATTTGTACAGAGCCTTCTGAGACATTTCAATGGGGAATGGCGACCATGGACAATATGCTAAGAATCCAAATACTTGATTTATCGCATCGTACATGTTTCCAAAATATATTTCTGCAATTTCATTATTCATGACCACAGGAATCATGAGTTGTTATTCAAAATGTGCGTCAAAATCATGATGTTGGGGGTTATACATTGGAGGATAGGACGTAAAAACGAGGTTAGACTTCACAATCTTTATCTCTACTCCTATGTTTTTTGAGCTTACTGCGGAAGTACCTTAAGGGGAGACGGAACCCCTTTGTCTACATCAAATCTTAGAATTGTGTTTTCTCCTACAATTATTAATTTCTATCTATGAAATTACTTTATCGACTCGATTATCGCATTCTTGAGTCAATGAAGTAGTTTTTTTTTATCGTTATTCTACATCGCTTCGACCCGGTTAGGGTATACTGCGATGATGATCAAGACTTTAAATGGTTAGATCGCACCATTCTACCCGGCCGGCATTTGAACTCGGAACCTTTCGCATGTGAGGCAACGAACTTACCTACTGCGCCAAGCCACCGGGCAATGAAGTAGTTTAATGAATAAAAAATAATAATTGCAGGAGAAAACAATTCTAAAGATTCATATAAACGCAGGGGTTCCGTTTCCCCTTAAAGGGGAACCAAACTGTCGATCTGGAGACCGAATAGAGATCCTGTCAAGGATATTTTGTTATGCAACCTAATTCATCTTCAAATTGTTTTCCGTATGGTCTGTAACATATTGCCTCAGAAGCGTATTTTTTCCACTTTCAGAATGCGTTAAAAGAGGAAACCCTGATCGAAGGTATCACAAAACAATTCCCCGAGCCTGGCGTAATGAGCCTCGGCCAAGAAGGTGGAACATTCTCCGATAGTGGTATATCGGACAGCGGAAGTGAGCAAGAGTTGAGCGAACGTGAACGTAGGCTTGCCGCACTACGACGACTGACCCGTAGCCTGGAGAGCCAATTAGCTCCTGGCTCCGATGCACTTATGGGGCTGTGGAAGAGGGTAGAGGATGCTGAGGCAGAATTGAGGAGCCTTCAAAAGCAGTGTCGGGAGTTGATTGTCAGGACTGCTGCAAGCGTCGAGGCCAAGGTTGCCAATAGGAACACGCAGACCAAATTTTCAGCAAGGTAAGTAACTCACCATAAATAAATCATCGATATGAAATAAACTGGGAAGGAATGTTAATTTACCATGGAAAGAAGATTCTCCGTTGAATAAAAGTTTCGTTTGGCATCGATGATTCTCGAAACAGTTAAGGAGAAATTTAATGATTCTGTTTTCGATTTCCCTCTGCTGAGAGAGTGAGTCGGAATAAAGACTTTAGTTCTGTTTTCTTTTAATTACGGATAGCCATATCGATAAATTAGAATTACCGTTACATTATTAACTTGTGAATTAGTTGATATCATGGTTAAATTTTAATTATTGAAGAAATCATCAATTTAAATAGTAAAATCTCGAATTATTCATTAATCAGTGATTGAGTTAGGAAGATTGACGATTAATTGGATAATCGGAAATCCCGTATAAGAAACTTAGTATTATCTACTTAATAGAAAATTAATAGTTCCCTATTTTAAAATATTTATTTCATCATCAATTGGAAATTTAGATTATCAATTATTTTACTATTTAAATTTAGATTAGTATATTTAAACTTTGATCAATGTAAGTCGAAAATTCTTGTAATGGGCCATTCCGCCAAATATCGGCGGAAATCTGGCCTCAAAATTTTCGACAATTTTTTTTTTGCTTCTTCTGAATTCTTATGTATATAAAAGAAGATTTTTCAACGCGTAAAGGTCCCGCGGCTCAATTAGAGGCCGTCCGCATGATTACGAGTTTTAGACTTGAAATTTTTCGCTCTTATAGAACGTATTAAAAGATGCTAAGAAAAAAAAATCAAAATATAGTTTTTGATCGGAAATTTTCTGAATTTTCCGAAAATGATGTTCATTCTCTCCCTCCACCCCTCCTCCATCGTGAAAATCGAAAAAGAAACCTCTAAACGTCATTTTTGGCAAATTCGCCATTTTTTTTTTCAAATCTGATATTTTATCTCAAAAATTCAGAGAATTTCCGATCAAAATCATATTTGAAAGTTGTTCGCTCCTATGATGCTCATCTGCAGAAAAATGATTCTAAAAAAGCGAATATTCGAAAAATAATAATATTGTAGGAAGAAGACGATATTTCCATAGAAGATGATGATATTATAGAAAATAGAGAATGTTTCCATGAAATATGGTCTTGGTTCTATGATATTCATCATTTTTCGAATATTCATTTTTTTGTCTGTTATTTTTCTTTACTTGAGCATTATAGAAGCGAACAAGTTTCAAATATGATTTTGATCGGAAATTTTCTAAATTTTTCAAAAAAAAAATTAGATTTAAAAAAAAATGGCGAATTTGCCAAAAATGACGTTTAAAGGTTTCTTTTTCGATTTTCACGATGGTGGAGGGGTGGGGGGAGAAAATGAACATCATTTCCGGAAAATTCCGAAAATTTCCGATCAAAAACTATGTTTTGATTTTTTTTTCTAAGCATTTCTACGAACGTTCAATTCGATTGAACAATTTTCGCGTAAAATCGTTAAACCTTGCGCAGCCCCTCCAATTAAAAGACGGGACCTTTCCTAGTCGAGAAATCTTTTTTTCTATACACAAGTAGTACAAAGAAGCAAAAAAAAAGTATCGAAAATTTTGAGGCCAGATTTCCGCCGATATTTGGCGGAATGGCCCAATACTAAAGAATCGGAAGATTGATGGCCATCCCTGATTTTAATGTTAATAAATTACCGAATTTGTGATGATGAGATCATTTTTCTTTCGTGAAATTAGGCTTTTTCCTGAGTTGTGAGTATTTTAAGTATAAAAAAATGTCCAGATCGACTCTCTTTTCTCAAGTGCTTCTATCAATTGCCAAAATATTGACAACAAAAACGGTAACACCAACTTCTCAGAGAGTTCCAAACATTTTCTCCATGTTTTTTTTTCATAAGTGCGAAATAAATGTTTTTTCGACTCGTCGCTTTGCAATTTGCATAACGTTGAAATGGGGGGTTAAGAATGAGAGCAGCTATTTAGCCCCTAAGTGTGTAGGTAAAAGAAAGTAAGAGATGGGGAGTTAAAAGTCAGTTCATAACGTCGCCTCTATAACGACCGCGCTCTTTCATTTGAATATAGCGCCACAGAGTGTGTAAGGAAGAAGGAAAAATTCCTCATAGTCTGCACAATAAGTACGTTTGAACAGAGTAGAACACTAAGGAAATGAATTATAGGATTTCATAAGCACCTTCTACCCCCCCGTTTGGTGCGCATGACACCCTTCTACAAATTCTCTCACTTCTTAATATAACTTTGAGGAATTTTCCTCGACTCACATGTCCTGATGATATATACCTCATCAATTCGATATTTACTCGTAAATTCTCACGTTTTCAACCTCCCTTTTTCCTTTTTTCGTTTTCTAGTGCGAATTTCTTATGCTTTTTTTCTAGCGTGTAGACTTTAAATATTACACTTTTTACGGTGACAGTGGGCACCCTCACGTTTTTCGGAGATCAAATTATTCCCCAATTTTCACGATCTCAATCACCTCATTTAACTTTGTTTCAAGAAGTATCATCACCCCTTATTTTTTATAGTTTCGTTTAATCACTGGCCTGTAGATTCAGAGGTAATAGGTTTAGTTCTTGGGAGCACGCAGAAGCAACCCCGGTATTGCATCGTAAAAAAAGTTGTAAAAACTCTCTTACGCGTCTTCGTGGCTTTTCGCCCGCTTTTTTTCCACTTCGGTACGATTTTATTTTGTTGAAGAACAAAAACAAGTGGGAAATTGCTCTTGTATTGTATAAAGTATAGTTATTTTTGCCAATAAATTAGCAGTATCATTTCCTTCCATCATGTATAATTCATTGTTTATTTTTTCATTTTATAAAATTGAATCAGATTTCTTTTTACCTAATTTTGTCAGATTTTCAACTTAGTTGAATGTTATCAGTATCATTATTCGTATTATCTCTTTTCTTCTATACAACCAATAGTCTTTTTTACAGTTCTATCTCTCCCCTCAGCTCTTCGATAAAATGTTGATAGAAAAATTTTATTCACACATATTTGAATGAATTTCAAACATCACATTTGAAGAAACCATCTGAGAGCTCACTTTCAGAAAAATTCATGAAAAATTCAAAATTTTCAACACTCGTCATAAAAATCAAATCAACCAATATAACTATCGTAATCATCTTTTAACTTCGACTTAATGACATTAAAAAAAACATTCTAAGCTATGATTGAATTCATTTGAAGCATGATATTCAAAGATATCCCCGGAATTTTGATTTTCAAAAAATACCAAATTTTAAAAATTTTCGAATAAATCAAAATAACGATTATAACTATCGCTTTCGTTTTCTAACTCGGCCAAAGGGACATCCAAACAAGTTTTTGAAGCCATCATTCAATCAATTCAGAACACTTTTTTTTAGTTATTGTGGGACAACCAATTTTTGAAAAAGTTCAAAAATAAAAAACACTAATCGATTAATTAAATTTTAATTAATGATGATCGATAACGGCTCAACAATACCTACATTTGAAAAAAAAAGATTCAATTCCATCCATTCATTAGCGAACAATTGAAGAAAAACTTTACCACACATGCGTACGGACACGGTGTAAAAATTGCACTTTCGGACGTTTTGGATCATAATGAGTCGATATAACACAAAAAATCCAAAATTTAAATTTGAACGATAACAATGCTCTCATTCGGAAGCAAAAAAATTGAATTTTTTTCTTCTTGGGCAAAAAAAAGAACGGAAGGATTTTCAGTAGATTTTAAGGTCCGAATGGATTATCTTTCGAACGTTATCTCGATTGTTTTCCCATCTTCATAATGTAAAATATACCACAATTTCATTTGGATTTTACATCACATAGGAGTTCCTAAAAATTATGATTGTACAATCAAAAAAAGTAGAAAAAACTGAACATTTTCAAAGAGCGTTTTTAATAAAGATTCAGAAATAAGTCCGATAGAGAGGAAATGGTGAATGGATAATTTATCATGGTAACTAACGATGTAACAGCCATTGACTACTGTGACAAATGACGATCTAACAGCCATTAGATACATTAAATTATTAATTTGCAATTTTCTCCCCATTAGGTTTATTTTCCAATATTATTCAACAACGCTCTTTGAAAATGTCCAGCTTTTCTTCAGCGTTTTTTTTGATCGCACAATCATAATTTTTGGAGACTCCAGGGCTATGTAAAACTCAATAGCAATTGGAGATCATTTCAGATTATCAAAATAAAGAAAAACAACCAAGATTACTTTCGAAAGATAATCCACCCGGGCCTTAAACGAAAAACCATAAGCCTTCTTACTGTGAAAGACATAGTTGGAAAAACATTCTTCTCTGATAGTGAGAAAGAAAGCCGAGTTATTGAAAAATTTGTACATTTTTTTCAGTAAACGTAAGAAAAGACTAGCTTCAACGAGCAGTGATTTCCTTCAAAAGTCTAAGCATGTAGCGGCAGAAGACGATCCCGAAGAGGATCCAAATTTGCCAAAGAGTTGGGTCTGGAGAATTCTCAGAGCAGCTTTGCCCTTCCAGTTGGCCATCGTAGCACTTCTCTGTGCCGCGTGTCTCCTGGAGCCCCACTGCTGCGAGGCTGGTAACAGTCTCAATCTATCCCTTACACCTCAACTTCGTTATGTCCGAGGACCACCTCCAGTCTAAGAGCAATAACGTCTAAGCGTTTGCCGAAACGTTGAGAGTATTTTTGAGCTGCTCGTGAGAGCTAGAGGATCGAAGAGATTTCGACATCTTCGTCTGATTCAAAGTGATTATCGTCAACATCCTGTGACGGTATTCCAAATAGTACTTCAGGTATCGAGTAATTTTTTCGTAGATTTTGCGTCTCAATTGACCAATTGAAGACATTCAGACCACAAGAGGTAAGTGAAAATGTTTAATTCCCGTGAATTCTGATACAATTACACGTGTGAAGACTAAACTTTTATAATAACCCGAGACTGAACGTAACAGGGTTACTACGTATCTCGAAAGAGAATATTAATATTTATCAATATTGATATCAGAATATTTTTCTCATTTTATAAATGTAGATAGGAAAAAGGAATGCATGAATAATCAAAATTATTTTCGTACGCATATATTCCAGTGATCTGAATGTCGACTAGAGAATTATCAAGTTATAGATTTTTGCGCTGAAATTTGAGAACGTGTCTTTTTATATATATTTTTTACTAGAGTGTGCCAATAATTCGTGAAGCCTGGTGTATGAATTTTCACATGCGCCTGATGGCCATTTTTCTCATCCTTTTTTTATCCATTTCTATTTGTTAGAAATACAGAGTTTTTACGTTATGTTGCATGCTGTATGATAAATCAGGTGAATATTCTGATGTCTTTTTATAGTATTTCTCGACATCAGATCGATTATTTTTACTGGAGAATGAAATAAAATAATATGACAGAGTGTTTATCATCATTATTTATATAACAGTTATAGAAAGATTGTATATATACCTGCCATTATTCAGTGGTAACATTCAAGAGAAATATGGAAAAATTATGGGAAGGTACATATGAAAAGTATTGTACTTTGAAGGATGTGTTACTTTAACAAATTTACAAATGACTTTTTATTCAGAATCACTACCAAGTGCCCAGTAAAAACGTCCAATATTTAATATCCCACAATATTTATAATATTATGATTCTTTCACGTGACTAGTCATTGGACAATTGATATAATCGATATTGTTCCAGTTATTATTTTGTTTTTGCAATATGTCAAATGTGTTAAAGTGCCTTGGGGATGGAAAGTAGAGGAAGCATTGAATGAATGAGTAATAAGGAGATAAGGTTCTTGGGTGAACAACTGGGGAAATCTTTGTCGAAAAATTCTCTTTGTGAGGAATCTGAACTCTCGAATGATTTTCATCATAATGACAAACGACTTGCAAATGGCAAGATGGAGATCTGCAAACTATCTGATTCAGTTCAGATAATTCACATGTTTCTTTCATTAGTTAAAATTTCCTGAACTTCAAAAAAGTGACTGGGCTCGATTAATCGTGATTCGGGCTCAGGAATATAAATTATTTCATAAATATACAAAAATTTTGCTTTCGGCTCGGATGATGACCGCTGGAAGTACATTGTGGACCCAATGATATAACGCATTATTTTTCGTATGTTTCCTTTCAATTCGTCATCTGAAAAAAAATCACTCTGACTTATCTCCTTATTTAAGAATAAATTGTATTTCAGTGAAGGAGAATTTGTCCTTTGGCTATCACCTGTAGCAATAGAGTGCATGATTGAGATCCTCCAATATTTTTATTCAACCGAGGGTCTCTTAAAAATTTAAGGGACAAACTGAGAAGAGAGTAATGTAAAATGAGAAAAGTTGAAAAATAGTATTTTTTATGTGAATACATCAGTAATCAATAAAGTAAATTTCGTGCTTCATTAGCATGGGATAGAGGAGCTGGGTGAAACGAGTAAGATAGAACGGTGTACTTATGCATGAATACAACTGAAACGGTAATAACTTAATATCATGTTAAGAAAACTATGAGAAGAAAAGTGGATTGAAGGAAGAACCTATAAGGCTAAGCTTGATGGAAGAAACAGTGCCTGAGAAATAGTTTTCCCCCCAACCTAACATGAAGAATGTATTTTAAAGAGTATTTGACATTCTAGACAGCCTTAGTGCATTATCATGCAAAGTATATTGCATTTACTTGAGGAATATAAAAATGAGGACTAGACCATTTTTGGCGATTTACTGCCTTACATTAACACCATGATAATGTGTATAAAGTACCTGAACATAAACACTATTCATCCATGTTATACTAGTTCAATAATATTGGATTAATTATACTATTTGTACTCTGGTTTGAATGGAACGGTTGTAATGAGCTTTTTTGAAATGTATTTTAACGTGAGCTTGCAATCCGTCAGTTCGTAAGTTATACTGTGCTGAATAATCTATAATATTTTGCATGCATTTTTCTCTTTTCAATGGGTTAAAAAAGAGTGAAAAAAAAACAGAAAAAAATGAAAAAAAAAATTGTCAGATGCTTATATATGATTATTAGAGAATAATCTGCCTTAGAATCAAGAGACTTGCATTGTAGAATTTTTTTAGCTCAGCATTTGTATCGATCGAGAACACGATTGTAGCTTCTATTATAAGAGATAATCTTACTTCCATTTTATATGGTGGCAAAAAGTTGGAACAAAATATTAAGAGAATAAGGCGAACATTTTTTTATAAATTATATCTGAGATCTTATTGACTCAAACCTAAATAAGGCCCAGTTGCTCAACACCACAGCCCATGGGAATTTAATCAGACTTTTAAGAGTTCCCAGAATTATATTCATCATCAGTGTCATTCATCATTCGACGTATTTGTAACGTTCCATCCATTAATTTAACACAGTTCTGTACTAACAAATGTACTGGTTAAGTATTCTTATCGAATACGCATTGTACTTCGGCATTTTCGGAAAATAAAGTAAAACAGATTTTTCTTCTGGAATTGATTGTTTTTATTGCTCTTCCCCGGTTCAACGAATACTCCCTCACCTTAGAGCTCATATATCTCACCTACACCTCATCATCAGAAAAATATTTTATCAAATCAAATTGAATAAAGTTATTATACACAGTGAAATTACGATGTTTTCTTCTACGACAATTTTACCCGGAGGAAAACTTTCATAAAGTCTATTATCGTCATGAATAAAGTCGCAGGAGCTACTTGAATTGAGCCTCCGTCCCTTGCCGGATCGCGGGCTTATAATGTCTGCAGTGAATGACTAGCCGGTGGCTTCAGTCCTGTTAACAGATGATCTATACACGGAAATAACGTATGTTAAATACGCCAAGTCAAACATCGCGAAGTTTAATTGCAATCATTTTCTTTATTGAAAGAAAGGAAGAGAATTTAGTGTCATAGAATATTCTTATCCGTTAAAGTTATGAATATTGCATAAATCATGGAATTATCATAGACCGCCGGGTGCGTATGCCCTCGCCTGCATTATCTTTCATCCTATTTATGTGTGAGGACATTTCTTTTCTTCATCCAAGTAATGAAGTATTCACCGTAATATTTATTTTGTTCTGGCCATCGCCCGGGGACCTTCAGCTAAGTATTTACATTTTATAAACTTAATAGTTGACACTGACAAAAAAGAAAAAGTCTGTTTGTGTGTTCATTTTGTTGGGTGAGGATCGAGAATTTAAAGATGATTTCTACAAGATTGAGTGCAGGGGAGATGGTACAGTATAAAAGCGATGATATGAAGAGTGAGGAGTTACAGAATTCCACCATTTATTATTGGAGGTGAAGAAGGCCTCCCCAGGAGTCAGAGCCCAGATTCTCCGTGGGGATGGCTTCGAGACTCAAATAAGGTGTACTGAGGGTGAGGGTATTTGTGAAAGGTTTCGGATATGGTCCAGTTTGCTAAGGGCAAAACTGGCCAGTTTGTGAAATCTGACGAGTCAATCGGTGACGGGTTCTAATTTAGTGCGTTCGTAAAGTAGGGTATTGGAGGGGTTATGGAGAAAGTTATCAGGATACCGAATTTTTGTCATTTTGCGGAGGGTGGTTCTTTCAGCTACGGCTATTACTTATTTGGTACCAGGTCTGGAATAGAACAGTAGTGGATGGGCATAATCTAAGGTTGGCCGGCAAATTGCTTTATATATTTTAGTAATGTGGTGGGTGTTGAGCCCATTATCCTTATAAGTAAGGCTACGGGACTTCACACCTCGAGCAATGCACTTTTTTTCAATCATGTTGATATGGGCTTTAAAGTTGAGGTTGTAGACGACTTTAACCCTGAGGTGGTGTGGAGGCAGAGAGCAATAAGGGTATTTTAGAGAGTAATATTGGAGGAAGATTTTCGGCGATTGAGAAAGAATTGCATGTATTGTGATTTGGAAGGATTGAGTTGGAGACGCCATTGATGAACCCTAGTGGAAAATCCGAAATTATAGCGTTACATACCTGATCAGAATCTGATATGATAATTTGATCAGTGTCTGATCAAGACCTGACGAAAATTTCCACTCGGGAAACCAGATCTGCACTTTATCGGACAGATCTTAGAGATTTTTTCTTTTCGATGCCCAGTTTTTGCCGTGCCCTACGAGGGCAATGACGTCAGCGAATTACACAAGGTATTTCTTGGAGTTGGTTATTTGGAAAAGGTTGTCTAGGATGTGGCAGAAAATATTTTTCACCACGCTGTGACGAAAAGCGAATTTTTCGTGAGAAGACCCGGTAAACCGCGATTCTAACCTCGCTTCGCTCGGTTTGATCGCGGTTTACGGGCCTTCTGACGAAAAATTGCATTCATCACACGGTCCAAAAGTATTTTCTGACGAATGTGATTATAGGCCTCGCCTTCGGCTCGGCCTACAAAGCCACATTCGTCAGAAAATACTTTGTGGACCTTGTGATGAAAATAACTATTTCGGCACGCTCCGCGTGCCTAAAAGTCCAATTTCCGCCACATTGTGATGAAAAATATTGTTCGTAACTCGTGAAAAAATGTTTTTTAGCTCGTGGGATTATATCACTCGCCTTCGGCTCGTGATATAAACCTCCCACTCGCCAAAAAACACTTTTTTGCACTCGTTACGAAATTTACTATAGGAGGATATACTATATAGGAGGTGGAACATGGGAGATCCTTCAGGGATACCTTGCTGAGGAGTGAATTCCTGGGAGTGGCTATTTTTTCATTCTAATGGAAAGGCGACGGTTTAGCAGGAGTTGTTAGATGATCTTTATTAGGTATGTGGGACAGTTAAGTTTTCTGAGCTTGAAGAGCAATTCCCTATATGCCAGACGGTGTCGAAGGCTTTCTGCACGTCTACGAAGAGTGTTGGTTTTCAGGTTATTATGTTTGGCGGTTTTTACATTGGATGCGTCATCGTAATATAAAAATTTAAAAAACGAGATCCATTAAATTTCACAACATTTATAAACGCGTTGATATGAAAATGCATGATGAGCGAAGAAAATTGATAAATTATTTTGAATCGTTGATCAATCCCCTATCATTTTTCAAATCAGAATTGAAGATTAGTGATCAGGAAGTTACGATATATATTATTGTAAACTTTGAGGGCCCAGGTGGTCTAGAAGTTATGAGCATGTGATAATATTTATTTGTGACACAATAAAAACAAACGTCGGTATAAAATAATTTCACGAAATGGTGATCATTAGAAAATCTAAAGAGGTGAGCCCAGAAAGGGATTGTGATGAAAATTTGACTTTGCGTCTACGTCGTGATGAAAAATACCACCCACGAGAGGGAAAATTGACGATCATTACTCACTGCCCTACTGCACGTGGGCATGACTTCGATATTTTTTCTCCCTTGGTAAAAAATAGAGGATTTTTGTATGTTCCTAAGCCGAAATACAGAGCGAAATGGTATATTTCCCACCAAGGGGGGAAAATAAAGGAGTCGTGCCCACGTATAGAATTACCACCCGAGCCGAAGGCGAGGGTGATAAGCACGTGGTGAGGGTCCTTTATTTTACCTCCCGTGGTGAGAACGTTATTTTATGTCATAAGGCCCGATAAACCGCGATTCTAACCTCGCTTCGCTCCGTTAGATCGCGGTTTTCGGGCCCAACGACATAAAATATCGTAGGTGACACGGCGATAAAAACATTATCCGGCGAATGTGAGTTTATAATCCGAGCCTGGCGAAATCACATTCGCCAGATAATGTTTTTATCGCCGTGTGACCTACGATATTTTATGTCGTTGGGCCCGAAAACCGCGATCTAACCGAGCGAAGCGAGGTGAGTTTATAATCCGAGCCTGGCGAAATCACATTCGCCAGATAATACTTTTATTGCCTTATGGCATAAAATACTATTTCGCGGGAGGAAAATCTGCCTTTTCGCCCGCCGTGGCGAAAATATATTTTTCATCACGCTGTGCGAAAAAGTAACTTTTTAGGCAAGCTTCGCGTGCCTAAAACGTCCCTTTTCCACACATTGTGATGAAAAATATTGTTCGATACTCGTGAGAAAAGTGTTTTTCGGCTCGTGCTATAAACCTCCCACGAGCCAAAAAACTCTTTTCCGCACTCGTAACGAAATATACTATTTTCTCAATATGTGAAGTAGAATTTCTTCACCGATGAGGATGGCGACATGAGAAACTCAACGTAGGTGGCAGCACTGAGATTGAGACTTGAAATTTGCATCCATTGGATAGTAGAAAATCGCAAAAATGATTCTTTTATTTGTTCTGATTGTGTTCGTTGGACAGCGGGTTTTTTGTGTGTAAAATATGGGATGATTGGACACTCGTTCGACTGCAAATAGAACCACTACCACGAAATTCATCCCTAGTTTGGAAAACAGCTCTAGTTGAACTCTGTGTGACAGGTTTCGCGGTCTCTCGCTCAGTGGCGTTCCTAGCGGCATAAAGTGTCACGCGTCTTCCTCATTGATATAGGTGAAGAAATTGTAAAGTGCAGAAATGAAGCCACGTTTGAAGACGCCGAAAGACCCAATATCGCCATGTAGAAACGGCAAGTACTTAACGCTGAAGTACTTTGACTTGAAAGAAGTAAGGGACGCAATACACTAATGCCGACAATTCAGACCCCCAGGATAATGATTCCTTGGCTCGATTGATACATAGGGTAGGCCCCATGATTGGCGGTATTCAACCAATCCCCCCCGTTCTCTCTTTCCTCTTAACTCCTTCAAATCGAGAGTCAGCAACGCGCGCGCTGTATATCCACAGGGTCAGGGGTCAATCTTGCTGTGTTATTACGACTCACACCTGTAGCCCTGTGCCTTGATCCACACCGAATTATTTTCCTCCGAGATATCCACTTAACCGCACTGAGAACGTCCACCTCATTCTCTTCTCTTTTTTCCTCTGTCTTTCTTGTTTTTTTTTCTCTTCATTGCCCATTGGTAAAATGCGGGTTATCCCTTTGCAGTCGAACTCATTACGGCCCAGGGAAATTAGGTATGGAATGTATATGCAATTTTATTAAGGTAGTAATGTGAGAGTTCTCTTCCTAATTTAATCCCGCATTCTTTCGTGATCATTTCAAGCAGCCGCTTTTTTACAATTGTTCGAGAAAGTTCATCAATTTTTGATGTAAGATAAAATTTTCTAGCTATATAATAAAATACCAAATGCGAATTTACTTCAGAGCTATTGAGAGATAGGGTCAATTGTTCAATGTTCGGATCTAGTAATAGGATCACTTAATTATTGAGATATTTACTTCCAGAGACAGGGTTTATTCGGAGGCAAGGGGCCTTCTTGCGCGCTTTCTCTCGTCGAAGAATAATACTATTCATGATCGAATCTCAATTAGAGATGCAAAATGACCGTCATTTTTTAGATCGCGTCATATGACCAAAATGACCATCATATGACGCATAAATTTTTTAACTACAAATGGTCATAAATAATTTCCAAGCAAATTGTTGTCGACACATCTATATAGATGCAGAATAACAGTCATAATTAATTTC